CAAAAGAAAACTTATCTCAGAAATCAGGGCTAGCTACAAACAGCTGGCTGCAGGTGAATGGGGTGGTCCAGTTGGCACGGACTGACAGCAACGGGATTGCACGAGAGAGTTCACACCAGGCACACCTCCTGAAAAGCAAACAGCCTAGTGCTCCAGCAGGTCACCAGTGTTCTCTCAGACCACTGAACACCTCCCACAAAAACTGCTTAGCAAAGCTTTTACAAAGCTAATTTCACAAAAAAAGGACAAAATTGCAAGAGGGAGGGCATGAGATAAGAAAAGGTGATTTGCAGATGGGTAGATGACAGGATTGCGTAGGAACGGTTGTGTAAAACTGTGCTTGCAAACACACCCACCCACACCCCCCGACTTCGTCCCCCAAGGGCAGCCAGAGCCCGAAAGCTGCTCTGGACAATGCTCTCCCGCTCACCCCGGGCAGACCCGGGCCGCTGCTCGCTCCCATTTCCCGGGGAGACACGCCGGCCGGTTCCCGTGGGTTCCGGCCCCTCAGACACCCCGAGCACCCACCTGCCACAACCTGAAGGGAAGACGCTCCTCCATGGCAGTCCCCGCTTTCCCCCTAGGGCCAGCCCTTATCCTCCACCAGCTAACGGGGGTGTCCCCGTCCCGCCGTTACCTTCTCGGCCTGGGCGAGGTAGAGCCAGAGGCGCCGCCAGGTGCCGAACTTCTTCCTCTCGCTGAAGTTGAAGCCCATCTCAGGGCTGGCGTACCGCGACACCAAGGGCGAGCGGTACCGCGCCAGCCCGTCCTCCTCAGCACCGCAGGTCGCCATCACCGCGAGGGAGCTGCCGCGGCCGCGAAGAGAGCGAGGGCCCTCAGGCAGCGCGGGGTAAGGGCGAGCAGCGGCTCCGCCCCGGAGTCGTGAGGAGGGCCCGCCCACGGCGCGGAAGGCGCCCCCTGACGGCTGGAGGCCACGCGTGGGGCGACGGCCGTAAAGATGGCGGCGAGGGCACAGCGTAAATAAACGAGCAGCAAACGCGGGTATTAAATGCTTAGCAGCCAAACACATTTATTAGTCTTTTTCTTTTTTTTTCTTTTTTTTTTTTTTTCCAGGAACCCAAAAATATTTTGTAGTTATAATGTAAGCAACTGAGTTGCACATAATACAATCATATCTTTCAAAAAAAAAAAAAAAAACATAAAATAAAAACAAAACAACGAAAAAAAGCTGTTTAAAAGCCAAAAAAAAAAAACAAACCTTCAGAAAACTTATATAAGTATTACACCATCTCTCAGTATGAATGAAATGACGACGACTTAATTCCTTATAACTCTTGTCACACTCCAATAAAACATCACCCTTTTGTTTGTTGTTTTTTTTTCTTTTTCTTTTTTTCTTTTTTTTTTTTTCTCTAAATCCAGCATGAGAAATACAGTACCTGCTATGGCAAAAATACACATAAAATGCAACATTTCAGCTTATTTGTACATTAGTAGAGTTTAAACATTTTACTGTTTTTTTTCTTTTTTTTTTTTTTTTTTTTAAGTGAACCAGTGATTTTAAGTACCACTATACTAAAAGTAAAATAAAAATATAGAAAAGGAGGAGAAGGGGGGAGGGGGAGGGTAGCCAGCCATACAAGAGCACCTTCTAAAAAGTGCTGAGTTTCTGTGTCCATGGAAAACCCCTTAGGAAGTTCAAACAAGCGTATGGGATGGAAATGAAGGTGAAACCTGGATATGCGAGACACTGTGTCATCTCCTCTATGTTCTCCCCGTTTGTCCTGTAGTTTTTTTTACTGCACACCAGAGAAGGAGGGGAGAAACCAGAGCTACGGAAGAGTTTAGTGAAGGAAGCCATTTCAAGTATAAGAAAAAAAAATAAACACTTAATAGGTAACTTGCAAATAGCATCAATATACACACAGCCACTATCTTTATTATTACAATGTCTGCTTCTGGGGGACAGTGTTTCAGGCAAGAGGACTTGAGCTGTACCTTCCTGTTACCTATTTATGTGCAAAGTAGAAAAGCTGCCTTTTCTAATCCAGCCATTTTGGACATCACTGATTTTCTGTTCTGCAACCTCCTCCCCGCAGTTTGTAAGGGGAGGAGGTGGCACTGTTTTACCAAGAAGACTAGATGAAATGAATCTATTTCTCCATTCCTCTTCCACCCTTCTCCCATTACTTGGTGGCAATGAAGAGAAGCTCGCCAAACATCAGATGCCCACCATTTAGCCAGTCCTGAACAGGTAGAAGGCATTTACCTTTGTAAACATAATCCCTTATGTTTGTGGAACTCAAAGCAGCATTTCGCATCTCCATCCAACCGGTGGAGATTAAAATAGATCAGAATGCTCCCCCGTCACTGCTCTTCCTCCTCCCCTTCCCCTCCCTGCCTCCAGAAAGATGACATTTGGTTACTTTTGTTAGAAGGTGGGGTTTTTTGGTTCTTTGGGGAAAATACTTAGCATTTAGTTCAAAGTAAACATTTTGGAATTACCATCAGCAGAACCATACTGCTGTTTGTTCTGCTTTCTAGATGAGAAAGAAAAAAGCACTGTGCATCAGATATTCTGCATGTTTTAGGGTGCGGCAGAAATCCAAGGTATGTATGTGTGTAAATCCCACAGGTGCACATGCATCATTTCAGCTTCTTTCTCTGCAGAATCACTGTATTCGCTTCCCCTTGAGTACTGGCAGAGATGGAGAGGGTGGCATAGGGCAACAGTGGAGAGATGTTCCTAAGGCCACGGGCAGCAATGCGGGACCAAGAGGACCAGGGAGCGTCAGATAGGAGGGCTTCAGGTATAGAAACCATATTCTTGATCTTTCAAAGGCCAAATTCCAAAAGGCATGGGCTCATATGCACATCCCTGAGACGCACATCCAAGAAAGAAGAAACAGCGACCACATGATTGGAGAGGGGAGAAAGTGGCAGAGGTTTCCTGACAACTGTGGGATCTACCCAACGCAGACCTCTTCCCCCACCACCCTCCCAGAGACATTCTGGGAGAGCTGTAAGGCATATACACAAGCAGCATCTACTATCATTCCCTCTGTTCCTACGTTTTATCTGGCAGGTGATGGCTTCTGTGTATTGTGGACAAGAAGAGACACTGCGTTTGAAGTGTGACTGGTAACACACTGAAATTATTTCAGGGAAGGAAACAGAAAGCTACTCTGCCCTTCATCCCTGGAGCAGCAGCATAAACTGGCAAGGTTCTTCATATTACAGTCCCCTCTCTGGAACTACACACCACCACCACCTCCCCTTCCTGATGGCAGGAAAAGGTGTGCCACTTGAAGGATGACATTACCAAAAACGCTATTTGAAGGCAGGGGAAAATACACAAACTGATTCCAATTTGGTGATCTGATGAAAGAAGCAGCAAGCTCCAAATACTTCAGTCAAGTTTGAAACTTATCAAATAACTTGAGACATGTGACCTGTAGCAACACTGGCATAACTATGTAAGGAAGAGCAGGAAAAGGAAACTGGCATAAAGACAGAGGAGGAATACAAGTAACTGAATCTCCATCAACTTCTATTATGTAGGATCTTGAGTGTCAGATGGCTTTAATCATTATATATGTATTTAAAAAAAAGTTATCTCCCTCCACACAAGCAAACAATGTAAAAAAAAATGAATGATCTTGCTATAAGAACCTCCTAATACTTCTACCATGCTTTTCTTTCCTTTAAAGCACTTCACAAACACTTAGTAGTTGATCCTCACAAAACCCCTGTGAGGTAGGTAAGTATTATTATCACCCTCGCTCTACAGATGAAAAAACAAAGGCAGATAAGTTACATGACTTGCCCAAGGCAAGGGAAGAGTAAGGGCCGATGTTAAAATTCAGGAGTTCCAGGCTTCTGGTCCTCTGCTCAAAACCACTAGCTCAATCATCTTTTTTGAAAGGAGATAACAGATGGTAATAAAAGCCTATTGAGTTTAGAAGAAAAGATTTAAAAGGTTACATCAGAAGGGGAAATGGAAAATGTACCACGAGGTATTTTTGTGAGTTTAAACTTCAGATTTTTTTTTTCTTTTTTTTTATTTTAAAGGCAATCTGACAGAGTGGAACCCTGATAAGATCACATCTGCAAGGCAAGCACAGATGTGAGTGCGATCATCAAGTCTATTACTTATTACAGTACTGTGAACATCAACAAAAAAACTGCTGCATGAAAACACTGAATACAGGCAGGATAATCTCTCAGTTCACGATATTACATCTAAGATAATGCCAAGGGTAATGCAAGTACCATGGTACACCATGGACAAAGGAAAAAGTCAAGTCACAGGGTCCCTATAAAGATAATGAAGAGGGCAGTGACATCTACATTTTTCTGAGGAGACTGCTCCTGGAAGCTGAGCAAGCTTTAAGGAACACACATAATTCACAATGACTGCATTCTGGAGATGTGAGGAAGTGAATCCTTTGTTATGACTCTTATGATACCACCTCATAGTAAAAAAGGATCATTTCTTTAAAACAGAGGGCCTTGTCTATTCATCAGTCTAATTTCCCTAAAACTTCACACACTGCCAACATTAATGCCAAGTCACTGGCAGTACAGACGACAAAGCCCAGGTAGCTGCTATGTTGAAGAAATGCAGTCCTCCAAGTCATCTTGTCCACAGCTGTGCTGTTACTGTATGAGCTGTGCCAGAAAGAGCAGCAAAGAAAATTTTAGGGAGAAGAAAGTGTAGACATCAAGGCCCTGCTGTGTTCCAATTCTCCTGGAAGAGCACAAGGACTGCTGTAATGGAAAATGAGTAGTAAATTCAAAAAGACGGTGCCTATGGCACCGTGTTTCCTGAGCTTGACAAGGGCCAGAACACAGGAGGTGGTAGGCAAGTTTCCCAGGTAGAGCTGGTGTCCCATTCACCCTATTGGCCTTGGGTTAACACTGCACGGCTAGAATTCACAACCCTGTGTAAGGTTCAGAGCTGATCCTGTTTCGCAGGCAACATTAGTTTTCCAAATCTCTGCCCAGTTACCTATTGGCCAACTTCTAAAAAAGAGAGGTTCTTTTCAACTCTTTTTTGTTTCAAAGGCATCACCTCCCCACTTCCCCAAACTATAATAGATATACCATGGACACAGAAACTCCTAACAGTTTAGCAAAGCTATCTTTGTCCCCTACACCCCCTTTGCAGAATGCATAGTTTACAATTCACTTACAAAATAAAGAAGCAATGCTGACCACATATGGGACCTTTTTTTTTTTTTTGAAAAAAGAACAAACAACCTCTTCTTAAGTTCAGTATCAAAATTCACATTTGCATAATAATACATTTCAAGGCCATTAGAGAGGAATGAGAGCGAAGCAAAGAAAACTGCAGAGTCTCTCCTCTCTTTGTCTTCCTGAATAGAGCTGAGGGATCCCACTGGAGTTTCTTTTCAGGGTGGGAATTATGAAGGGCTACAGCAACAGCTCTTGTTCTTGTACACCTCATGTTTTGGGTGGGACGAAGAGGTGAATTATTAGGAAAATAAAAAAAAAAAACAAATGGAAGGAGACACTGCAGATTCCCATGTTTAGCTACAAACAGCTTCGAAGAAACAAAAATTACTTCAGAATTTTTACCTTTCTTTAAACACTTCTACCTCACCATTTCAAAAACTCTTTTTTTTTTTTTCTTCTTCTGTAATACCCTGTTCATTTAAATGGCAACATTAAGTGTGCTGGAAGTTGAAGGGTTGGAAAAAAATAATTTCCTGTTTTTCTTATCAGGACATGGACAGAGAGGGTAAAAGTGTGCCTGCACCCACTATTTAACAGAAGCTACAAAACATCATCTTCTCTGCATGTATAAATTTGTCTCAAACATCACTGTGTTTCAATTCTCCAGTGCTTACAAAAAATAAAGCCACACGCACACTCATGCACACAAACATAAAGAGAAGCCACACAATACATTTACAAACTCAACCTGCAATGGCAGACTAGCCTAAAACTATCAACAGCTTCTGTGCATCACATGACATCCCTTAGCACCCCCCCCCCCCCCAATCTCTACCACATATGAATACGTATTGTGCAGTGTAGAGACCAGCCCAAAGATGCTGCTTGTCAAAAGGGACCAGTGGGCTGCAATCTCAGTATCTGACCTCTTGAAAGAATAAATTGACCATTGTCTCCCCTCCAGCCCAAGTGGTCTCCTCAGTTAGACAGTCACTATACTCACAAAGGCACATTCATAAATACCACATTTAACTTACTGCTTGTAAAAACATAGGAGGAAAATGTTAAGCGCTTATACCCCAACCCATCCCTACTGACTCAGCAAGAAGTATCACAATAATGTATCACTTGGTGAGACCTTACTCTACCTTTAGAAGGTAAATATTAAAGAAGTCTTCCAACACCTCTTTTAAATTTTTTTTTTTTTTGCATAAATGAATGCTTTTTCTTTTTGTTTTTGGCTTACATATTTTGGAATACAGCACACTCACTATAAAGCTCTGTTGTAAGGCTACCCCCTAAAGTAAGGCTGTTCTACCTTGGCTTGCATTTTCACTTCATTTTGCTTCTTCTCCACACATTCCCAAAACAAAACAAAAAAACCCACACAGCGCCTTATATAGAAAGGGTAAGCCATATCTGGCAGGGAGAGGGAGGGGAAAGAAAGCACATAATATCATAACCATGTCACTAAAATAGCTATTCTAACAAGCTGTGCAACCTGCTCTTACTGCTCAACAGTAAATGATGAAGACAATGTTCACTTATGGTTGTGTTTCACCTGAAACAGGAGAAGTTTCCACTATGTCTCAATTAAAAAAAAAAAAAAAAAAGAACAGATTAAAAAAAAAGAGGAAATTATTTCTGTGAATGCAACACCACACTAATAACCAAGAGCCTCCTTGTATTGCGCATCCATGCAAACTTCTCCAGTCTCTTCCCCTCTGCCCACCACAGTCTAGAATGTCTGCTGCAAGAATACTTAATGCTGGCTGGCACAATGAATTTTTCCTCTTTCCTTTTCCTCTGGAGTGCTCTGTATTCATTAACAGAAAGGCTGTCAGAGTCAAGTCAAGGAACTCCCTTTCTCACTACAACATTAACAGGAGACCTAACACTGCCAAATGTCACCAGTCCCAGCTGTCACACATACTGGGCGAAAATAGCTCTTTGCAGAGGGCACTTGATTTGCTAGAAGCTTGCTCATACAGCACAGGAGTCTGAGAGACTTTGAGAGAACAGCTTTCCTGCATAGCTTGATGAAAAGCAACACGCACACAAACTGTGGATGCAAACGGATGTTGTCTGCTGCATGACACAGATGAAGCTGCATCCGTCTTGGCCTGACAGTAGTTTTAAAAGTAGGCTCCAAACCACTGGGAGCTGTGGCGCTTTTTGTAGCACAGATAAAACCTTAAATCACTTTTCATATAAGGATTAGAAGCTATAGTTACTACATCACAAAGTCTCACGTAACACCACATAATAGAGAGCTATATTTTAAACAGGACCCTGACTCAGTTTTAATAGCAATGCAGACAGACCCTTGAATTCTACTGTAGGCAAAGCTCTGCTTGGCGAGTAATTACAAAAATGGACCTAGTTAATATTATCTACTGCAGGGGAACTTTGGTAAAATTCAGCAACACTGGTATTTACAGTGATGGGACACTTATGCAAAACATTGTGAGGGACATGAACTAGCAAGGCTAGTAAAAATCTCCAGTTAGGCCCCTGTCATTTAGCCCAACCAACAATTCTGCTACAGCATAGTTTTTGATTTGTGTTTTAGGTCTGGTTGTGAATTCAGGACAACAGGGAAAACCGGCTCTGTCTACACTGGGAAATTTTGCTTATTTCTCCCCATTGATGTTGCCATCCTTCTGCCACAGGGGGAAGCCTACTACTGGAGGGGAAGGAAACGGAAGAGAGTTTGGGCTTTAGACATTCGTATTTTGACCACAGTGGGAATAACTGATAGGATCTAAGACTATCAGTTCCTAACTCTAAAATAGTAGCAAATAAACTACAGAACAGAAATGGTATTTTGTGCAATATCGATTTAGACAAACCAACAGATTCTGCATATGTTGTTTCAGACTCAGGACCAAAGTTGCACTTCAACAGCATTTGTTTGGTTTTTTGTTTTGTTGTTTATTTTCTATAATTCATTTCAACTTAGTTTTTCTTTGTATTACTTTCCTGCCCACAAATACATGCATGCATATTTACAATTAAGAAAGCTGCTTCTGCCAGGTGAACTTTACCTCTTCAGAGAGAAAAAACTACCTTTTACTCAGTCAGGACTCATACCCTGAGATGCTAATAATCATCTACCGCAAACCCAGCATTCCAAACCACTTGAGAAACCTGGATACTAAGGTGACATGATTTGCAGTGAATGTGATACATGCAACACAGATGTTTGCTGCACCGGAAATACAACAGATCTTCATGTGCTACCTTGGCCCTGGTCCAGCTAGGTTTTATTACACAAAGAGCCCTTACCCAAGCAGTACTCATTCATTTAAGGTCAGTGGGACTAAATCACATGAGGATCACTCCTGATTTCCTGGACCAGACTTGGCCAAATTTGGGTTTCTCACATACCCAAAATATACTCCTTTGAAAGTCAACAGGGAGAAAATACACACAAGCAAAATCAGAAGCCTAAGAGCTAAACGTAATTAAGAATGAAGCAAAAAAAACCCCTACAGTATCGTTTAGCTGTACTACTGAGACACAGTGAAAGATGTGGCAGCATTTTCAGGAAGAAAGAATAGGGGAAAATTTCTAAGGAGTAGATGTTTAGAAATTTCATGGATGGGGAAGCCAAATTAATGTGAAGGTTCAATTTTATTTAATCCTTGAGGTGGTTATTCCAGCCAGTTTGTTGAAAACACCCTATTTATACTGCAGAGGGAAAACACACTTGGCTTAATATTCTTGCTCATTACACAAGCCACTTAACATGAAGCAAAATAAAAAACTTGTAAGGAAAACCTGACACCCTGTGACTGGAAAAAAAACCCAAACCAACAAAAAACCCACTCTCTGGACTGCTGGGCAAGCGCCCAGGTAAAAGCATAAAAACGTAAGGAAAAGATGGCATGTCTTCCAAAGTACATAGTACTACAGCTGCTTTCCAAAGTAAATGCCAGAGTTCTCAGCACAGGTTTCTGAGCTGTACTCTTGTTAGATTTTATTTCACTGCTAAAATGAAATACTGAAATGCAGTAAAAGATCAAACCCATTAAAAAATTCTCAGCTTGATACACACTGCAGGGTGGGGTAAAGTGGCTGGTAACAAATGGATATTTGATTACAAGACTGCTAAAATGTATTTCTTTTTTTCTTTTACAAAATAAGCAATGGAGGAGTCAAAACCAGGAGGAAAACCTGGAATGCTGAAACCACCTGTAGAGTATGTGTATGTTTAAAGTATATACCCTGGAGAACCAAAACTAAGAACAAAATAATAAAAAGAGTTCTGTTTGTCACTTGAGAAAGTAAAAAAATGTTTTTTAGTGAAGGGTGTTATGTTTTATTTTTCTCTAGAAGGAGATGCCCATAGCCTATTCTGAGCTGTGCTTTCCCCAGCTTCTTTTAACCACCTCCTTTGTTGTTAAGTTTAAACAAGATGATGCCACAGATTCCCTCCATGGAACAGTTCTGTAAAAGCCCAGAAGTACTCTAACATCAATTGCTGCTGACCTTTCGTTGTTATGAGCTCAAATGGTAGCAGAATTATTTACTACATTGAGTGCCGGTTGTCCCCAGAAGATGAATCCGGTTAGCACAGTGCTCAGGAATCACTTGCCATAGTCAGAAGTGCCATGACTAAGACGTACTAGCAACATCATCATTAGCTACATGTAATTCTGAGTGGAACAAAATTGTCAACTGTAGCTGGAGAATTCTAAGATTAATCTTGCTTTAATGATTTAGGAAAACTATCACTAAGGAGACAGTCACTAACATTTGCAGGCTGCACATTTAGCAAAAGGAGGAGCAGGCTGTTGTACTATGATAGGCTTGGACCCAGCAGACTGTCAAAGCTCCAGACTGCCAACTCTCTGGCAGCCAGTCACAACCTGCTTCCAAATGACAGTCAAGTTCCTGGGCTCCTTTTGATTAAATCCTACAGCTTCCTCTCTTTTAGGACATTGCAGATTTGGTAGAACACCTCTGGAAAAGCGCTCAAACTCTCTCCATAAAATAACCCCCCAAACTCCCTAAATAAACCTTCCTTTTACTGACCCATGACAGGATTATTTTTTTTAAAGCACGTTATTATTCTTATTGATGCATTATTTTCAATACACACGTATACACTCAGATGTATACACAGTGCAACATGAAAACACTGGGCAACTGATATGAAAAGGACAGAATTTGGCATCTTTTTTTTTTTAATAACAAAAAGTTAACTACTGTTTCATAACTCATTGCATGACATGCTTAACACAGTATGCTCTTTTCCTTAAGAATGGGAACATCTACTTCCATCAAGTGGCTATACTGCCTCACTTTGCCTCATCTTCTCTTCCCTTCCCTACTGTAGGGCATGTGGGTGCATGTAAAAAGGCACTAACGCGGTCTCTGTGGTTTGAGCCTAGCCATTTCAGGCAGAGTTAAGCCCCTGACCCTTAGAGCTGGGAGACAGAAGTTGGCCATAACCAACACAGAACTCTGAAGTTCAAGACTGTAAGCCCCGACAGTCAGCAGCAATAGAGTGAACAGAAAAGTTTAACAGGTATTTTCCCCCCATAGAAAATATAACAGAAGACTGGGAGGTGGGGTGGGTGAAGAAAAGCAAGCAGCAAATCTCCAAGTGGGCAATGAAACTGACCAAATAGGTGAAAACAGGAAAGCTCATTTCTAATGTACATTTTACTGGAGTTTTTACATATTGCCTCCCTTTTCTGTATTGAAAAGGGCAGGATAATAAATCTACTTCATTACTGGGTATTCTGTCAGCACTGGTTTTCTTTAGCACTACTTAAAAGTGGTTTAAAGAAGCACCATCGTGTATTTCCTGCTAGTCCTCCTAACTGAGGACTCTTTTCATTTAAGCTATACTGCATTTTAATTAGGTTTATAGTTTCACTCTGCTTTTAAAAAGGTGCTTGTTAAGAATATTTTCATTTAGTTTCAATCAAGAGGGAACAAAGTGATAGATTTCCATTCACACACTTCTCCATGCAACTGCACTTATCTGCATGAGTAACAAAGCACTACAAATGATAACCCTTCTTCTCCCACAACTTGTTTAAGATTACAATGAATTTCTGTTGCTGATATTGAGAAGTTTTCTTAATGTATCTTACAGTCTTTAAAATTCTTGTTCCCCCCTTGACAGTAATGTTTGGAGATTTCTTGTTTTTTTCTTTTTCTTTTTTTATTTTTTTTAGCATTTTTATTTTAAAGTAAAAACTTTCAAACATTTTGAAGATTCAGGAACTTGTAAAAGTTTATCACAAGAAACAGCCATCTATCTAGGATAAGATAAGGTTAAATAAACCATCTTCAAAAAACTGGCTTCCTACCCTAGAATTCCTGAGAATGCTTGCAAATTTAAAGCAGGAAAATAAAATGTTAAAATAAAAACAAAAACACTGTTAAATGCTCCCAGAGTTAGTCTTCATCTAAAATATATATATGCACTTTTTGGTCTTTTTTTTTTGTATGTTTTAATTTTTTTCCCTTTAAGCTTACAATGGAAGAACAATTTAGCTTTTCTTTTTAAATATTTCAAATCCCTCATTATGTCTTGTAAACAAGAGGGGCTCTAGCACCCGGCTTTCACCGTAGTATCGCAATGACCTCAACTAGCCCAAAGTGCAGGAAAAGGGACCTTAGGGTAGGTTGGGAGAGAGAAGTGAGGGTGGAACACAGCAATGAACCAGCATGTATAGCAAATCATGTGACAGAATGGATACTGGCTTACTCAGGCCAAAGGTGCTTCGCTAGGAAGTACTGCTGGCACAGGACTTTAAAGAACCTGTTCTGCATGTCTGAGCGCAGCTAGTCTTCAAGCAGAGACTAGCAGAAACAAAGCTGTATGGATGTGTGCACGCAAGGGGCACTGGCTAGCAGGAGCTGGAAGAGAGCATTTTGTTTCTTTGTGCATGGTGGGATGGATGAAAGAGGAGACATGATAGAAAAGTATATTCAGAAGGGGCCAGAGTATGCTGCACACTCCAGTTTACTAAGCAAATACAAACCTACTCGTACTTTTTGTCACTTAACACTTTGCATACAAATCTACAGGCATGTGTATATGCAGCATTTCCCTCAGTCAGTCTTCCTTGTGACATTGGGTTTTTATAGAAAGGGCGAATTAAAAAAAGTCACCAAACTCCCTAGCCCTTCCCTCCCACCCCCTGCACAGGCACGCGCACACACACACACACGCACCCCCCCCCCCCCCCATAATTGAATCTGCTTTTCCTTCTTCCCACCCAACCCATGCTTAAGAGTTAAATGTGTTAGACATTGTCATATCCTTCAATGAAAATGCTGAAGAAAGACTCCCCTATCCTCTCCCCCCCCCAGATAATAAAGCCCGCACACTGCTACCGCTGAGGGCTGGAATGGACAGGTATGTGCTGGTACAGAATGTCGGCACTTTGATAGACAGTATAACAGCTGGACAACACCACATGGAAGTCCTAGCACTTACGGAAGAAGTACCGGCATCTCTCTTCCCTCTTCTCCCAGGCCCACTCCCTTCCCCACCCCTCCGAAAGACCTCTCACTTTCTGTCAAGGGATGTTCCTTCAAGTCTGCTACAACTCTTTTTCACAACAGGTCTGAAAAGTTTTGTTCCCAGCGCACACATGCACGCACACACTGGCTATCACTGTGGATTACAGGTCACCCCTATCCTGCCCAGAGTACTACTATACTGATGCTAAAAAAACCCCAAACCTTTCCTTAAGTACAGAAATTAAAAAGCAACAGTACAGAAAAAGTAAAAACAAAAAAACAAAAAGGTGCAATACTTCTTAAAGAAAAAAAAAAAAGAAAGTCTTTGCTAGTTATATACCTCCCTAAGCAAAACCACATACACAGGAAAAATACAACACAGAGAAACAAAAGGAAACCTTTGAAGTACACACTGGTTTAAGAACATTCATAAGTAAACGTTTCTGTCAGTGATGGTCTGGCGCTGTAATACACCAAGGCCTGGCACAGGTAACGCTCACCATGAAGGACGCAGAAAGGAGTTAGCTGCATGTGCTTTCAGGAGATGAGGCAGGCCGGCCAGCGATTTGCTGACACCATTTGTTTTTTGTCAGTTTTAATAGAAGCAGTCAATCAAATAAAAGTAATTTGGTTGGGCTGGACATTCAAGCTTTTGATGGAATCTTCAAGAATCAGTATGGGTGCCTATATAGGTCTGGGGGAGAAAAGAAACACTGCTGTTCTTTTTAAAGGTAGTGAAGCTTGTGAGACACTGAATAAGAGAATTTGACTTAGCTGCACAAAAAATGGCAATGTCTTATTTACTCTTTTCCCCTCGTTGGAAGAAAAAAAAAATGGCTTGCATTACGTAACAAACATTCTAGGGTTCACTCAGTACAAAAACCCCACATGCAGACATAAATAAATAAATATACTGCTACTCAAAAGACAACATTGGCTCCCCTCTCACCAAATCCTTTGGATATGGCAGTGTTCTGCTCTACCACAGGGTTAGAACAAGGGCCAGGAAGCAACTACCCACTCAATATGATCTGCAGATTTGAGATAGCACCCTGCTAAAATGAATTAAAAAAAAAACCTACTGACGAATTTTAATCCAGCCCAACTGGATTCTGCTTCAGCCACAAGGACTCCACCATGCCCGTCCTGGTTTCAGAATCAAGACATGCAGATGGCCAGCCAGCCCGTAGACCATCAGCAATGCAGCGTTTCAAGACTATATATATAGAGAGAAAAAAATGCACACACACAAACATGTGCACACACACTCACACAGAAACAAGCACACGTGGGCAGTTACATGTGCCAGAACACACTGGTACTTATCAACCAGCCAATCACAAAGTGTTGGTTTTTTTGTTTTGTTGTTTTTTTTTCTGTTTTGTTCTTTTTTTTTTTGTGGGTTTTTACTTTTTAATTTTTTTTGTTTTTGTTTTTGTTTTTAAAGTGAGGCTCCGTCAAGTCTTCCCCTCCCCCCCCCCTTTTGCTTTTGAAACCCTCCCCTACCCCAACCCAACATGGTAGACCTAAGGACGGAAACACACCCAGTGCAAACGAAGTTAAAAAGCTATTTTTTCAGTATATATGTTTCTTAGCAACAACTTCCGTATAACATGAAAAAGTGAAAAACTAGAAACTAATTTTTTTACTTTTTTGTGTTTAAATTTAAATGGTATGTGTACTTGCTTCACATTGTCTTTCTAGTTGGCGTTCATGATTCAAGTATTTCAAGAGTGATATGTTCTCTTTTTTGGATTCATATTCCAAACGAAAAAACTGAAGTTATATAAGGGAGGCAACTATGTGCTCAGACAGTCTGTCAATGACCCACCTTTTTTTTTTTTTCTCTCTCCGTTTTCTTTTTTCCTTTTATAAATGTATTTATTGCAAGTTGAAAAAAACGAAAAGGTCAAGTTAGTGCTGCTGCTGTTCCAAAAAAGGTCACGAGGTCAGAGTTGAAAGTTCTAAGTTCAGATTGAATCCGACCCTCCTCCCAGAAGGTCTCCAGGTAGTAAGGGAGCAGGGCTGCCCATTCTGTGTGGATCCTCTACACTTGGGACCCCCCACAAGCTTGAAGAATAGTTTGGGGGCCCCCACAACGAAGCGCCAGTGAGATCACTCCCACTGCTGCTGCTGCCGCCACCACTGCTCCACTGCCCAAGCCCTGTTGACCCACCAAAGAGATTCAAAGCAGGTCCAACTGGATCTGTCTGGTTCTGTCCTGTCTCCAGGGGTTGCCAGCCTGCTGTGGGTGCACTTGGGGTTGCTGCAGGTGTAGGGGGCTGAGCTTGTGCCAGAAAACGACTAACCTCTTCATCTGTGGCAAACTCAGCCAGGATGGTAGTGTTTCCCAACACACACCTAAGAAGACAAGATACACAGAAGAAAAAAAATAGTGATTAGAGCCAGAAGGTAAGGGCAAGGGATTCAAAAGGCATGAAAACCAACACTGTTAGGTGCCCAAACCAAAGGAGGTGTATCAGCTTGCCACAAAGCAGCAAGCACAGAAAATTTCAGTTGTTCTCAACAGTGAAACTGACTCAGAGCACAAGAACTTCCATTTTAAAAGGGGGAAAAACCCCACCAAAACCAAACCAAGCAACTGCCTCCCTCAATATTCAGCTACTATGTCTGCAACAAAACCTTTCTACATTTAAACTTAAGGTCCTGAACATTAACACTAAGAGAAAAAGAAAAAGTGCCTGTATAGCGTATCTAAACTGGCAAATGCATACATGCCACCTTTCTAACAAAAGGGAGTAAGAACAGGTTAAAAGCCTGTGAAATTCAGGGTAAGATTAGTATAGTCCAAAAGGTTTTACTGAGTTTAACTGAAACCACCACCCCCAAGCTCCACCAAGATTTTTGTCTCAAGACCTGCCTAATTTTCAAAACATACCAGAGCCATACTCAGCTACAAAAAGCTTATGAACATAAAGCCTAAGACCTGCAGCTTTTTAAGTCGACAATTTCAGGTCTATCTCAAAACTTCAGCAGATTCCCACACATCTGTGTTATGCATATAAGAATGAGTTTCATCTTAAACAGTTCACAAGCTTTTTTAAAATGGCCAAAATTCTACACTGTAGGTGCATACTGGTCACATTTCTCTCCTGTTTGCACCCTCTTAGCTCTGTATGTGCCAGTTTGTGCCAGCAATTAAAGCTACACAGACAGAAGGCATCTTTGTTTCTCTTATTCCTCCACCAATGAAAGAAAGATTCCCTTCCAACCATGATACTTGAAACGAAGTCCCAAAGCATAAACACTGGACAGACATCTTGTGTTCATGACTAACGCAGTAACAAAGAACAGACATGGGGATTGCTTACATGTGCAGTGCAGTCTGGGCCTTGGCCGCCTCCTGTTTGGTGTTATATCGAATAAGGGCGGTGCCCTGGGTCAGGTTCAGATGGAATGTCAGCAGTGGGCCATGCTGCATGCAGATCGTCCTCAAGGTTGACCCATCGATCTGAGGAAGAACAGTCAGGATAAGGCAGATGTTTCTAACTGTTTCCCCAAAGGGACTTCAATTGTAACTTTGTCTTGGTAATTAAAAGATAAACTGCTCTCAGAAAGGGAAACAGGTGAAAGCACAGGGAAGTAAACAAAGGGGACAGAATTCAGTTCTCAAACAGAATCAGTATACCCTGGCTTCCCACAATTACAATGACTTTGCTTTATGGAATAATGTGACTTATATTTCCCATGCACTTGTAGTTTGAGTCGTAGTTTTCCACACCTCACCAAGTTTCTGTCACTGTCCTTATGTTGGCCAGTTTTCCAGTATTTACATACATAACTTGTACTTCTTATCACACATTTATATACATAACTTGTACTTCTTATCATCCTCAGCCATTTATACCAGGGGAACGAGAACGTCTTAGTTTCCAGCACTCAGATTTCAGTAGAATTTAGATCAATCAGTATTTAAAAGTTCTTTGTAGAAGTGGAAATACCACCTTTGCAATGAGGGTTTTTAAAAGTTTATTTTGGTGCTTTTCTGTCTTCATGGTTATGAAGACAGTGTCACAGAAGCAGTCAGTGATCTTTCTGCCAAACCCAGCAATGTTCATTCCTCCTGAATTAATGTTTTCACAGCAGTTGTTGCCTACATTCCTTCTGCAGCAGTAACAGCTTGTTACTTACCTCCAGTAACTGCTGTTCTCCACAGTGTTCTGTACAGACAGATTCCATTCCTAGTATGCCACAGGAACATACACACATGAATGGGATCCATATGTGCAGATACTTAAGGAAGTGCTACTTTCTTCCTTCTCCCTCCCCACCCTCTACTATATAATACAGCTCAAACCTGGGAAAAGGAAGTTGTATGGGAGTACAAACATGGTAAAAGTTAAAAACGGAGAAACCTGAAATGAAGATACTGTCCCTGAATCCACCTTAACCTTTATGCTTCCTTCTCTCTAATGTACTGACCCACAATGAATAGAGGATTTGTTATGGAAGAGACGTCATCTGCTTCTTGCTCTATTACCTTAAATGCCTCCAAAATTACATTCTTTCATTAAACAATTCCTAAAGCAGTATTAAACTACCTTGCACAAGGGAGACTTAGAACTGTGTCTCTTCACACCACTCCTGTATCTTTCATGTCAACGAAAAGAGCCTCTTCCATGAAAGGAGCACAATGTGCCATTATGGGTGATCTGAATGAGGTGTTAGTTTTTCCTTTCACACTCATGCTTCCTTGAACTGTAATAGAAGCATGGTAAATTACCTTGCTGAACAGGAGACACTGTCTAGACCTCAGGGTGCTGCTGATAATCATACAGGCTTTTCCAAAGCCTTGAATACAGACTAACTGAGGTTGCTGAAACCAGGATTCCACAGAATTTGTCCTGAAAGGACACAAGCTCCAAGAATACTTGCAGGAATAACCTAACTAGACTGTTTTTGGCAGGAGTGCTGGAAACATTCTGTGGCTTCACTATGGAAACACCAAAATGAAAACTGGCAGTTACACCAGCTTTCTTATTGACAACGTCCCAAAGAACAGTCTCTTTAACAGCTATAAACCATCTCACATTATGGTCATGCAACTTATCCTTACTTCTAAGAAAAATCTTTCTGTTCCAATAATTTTTTTGAAAGTCTAGGTAATGAAAGGTTGTGTAGCAAAACCTGAACATCTTAAAGCTGAAGAGATTACAGTAGAAAAAACAATCAGACTGCAGCCCAGTTTAGAAGAAACACATTTTACATATGCTGAGAAATCTGATTTTGTTAGATTTTGCTCAAAGAGAAACACTTGCAGAATCCACAAATCTGTATCTTGGTAAAGCAAACAAGTTCCCAGAGACAACAACAGAAAATACCTGTGGAGTGAGATTGTGAAGAACCAGCCAGTAGCTAGGACGAACTGAGCCACCATCACTCCAAGTAGATGCTGCAAATTAGAAGACAGGATAATCAAGACAGATTTGATACAAAGAAAACCATTTTCCTTTATAGTCAGGTCTTTCAAATCTCAGGCAAATTCATTATTGGCATTATCAACCCTGCTAACACACGAAAGCCTGATCTTCAGTCCTGAAAACAAAACCGCATCTTTCCCCACATTTCCTATCAAGATTCACTTTTTACTAGAGTTTATATTTGAGGAGTTTCCCACCCACGGAAAGCATCTATGAAAAGCCCCATGTGGTAGCTATTTCCTCCTGGCAGCTTCCAGCCCTCTTTACTCCTTCCCCTGCAGCAGGACCTGGAATTCCACACACAACTCCCACCCACTGTCCAACCCCATTACTGACAGCAAATTTCCATTTCAAGAAGGAACTTTTTTTTATCTTTTACCAGACAACTGCAACTTTCTTTCCTCCAAACCATTAGTGCTGTAAAACGTACACTCCTCAGGTCTGATCAATGGTGCTATCAGTTGATTCTTCTCACCAGAGCCAAGCCTTGAGTCCTGTGCCCCCCAGCCCCTGACCGATCGGGATGCTGTGCTGTTCCATGGAGATGATGGTTTGGGGTTGGTCAGGCCAGGAGGCGGGCGGGGCAGCCCTGTAGTGTTCCTTGAGGAAATATGGTTTTTCCACATCTTGCTGGAGAGATGAGTGGGATTGTGTCCTATGGGATCTGGGGACCATGTTGATTTGTAATCACTGAATTTTGCTAGAAGATTAAATAAATTGTATGTGTTAGAGAAATTTGTGAGATTCAACTAGCCTTTATCTGTACTACTGCTGTAAACCCTTTGGCCGTATTTATATCAGAGACAAGCACAAAGCACAAAACCATACAACAGTTAATTTACTACACCAAAAGGCACCATGCTACATGCAAGTTCATCTTTGCTTATTTTATATATGCTGACATTTCCGATAATGTAACCGGCTGCAGTATGTTCAATCATTAATAAGATGAACAGCAACTTTGATGTCCATATTACATTTGAAAACCTGAGAATTCTTACAAGTTGGGTCACTACTAACCTATAGGTTAGTAAACTGAACGCCCTTCCTGCTTTCACTAGATTCAGTTTGTTTTACAGATAATGTGAATTCTAAATCCCTAATTCAGATGACCTGCCTTCTGCCTGTAAAATGCTGGAGTGTAGTTTAACAAGATGTGCAGAAAATGGTATGTGTGCCAGGCACTAGTCTAGTCTCCTCAATTCAACTATGACCTCAATCATTTTTAATTTCTTGGGTCTTTCTTATGTGCTAGACAAAACTTAAGCAGAGGTAAGAAGCTGATACATGCCACTCCTTTCCCCAGGACTATGACTCTGTCATTGGAATCCTGTGATATTTCTTCAAACTGAAGTGACCCCACAAACTGGCAGCAGGAACATTGTTTTCCCTCGAGGCTATATAGGATTTTCAACGGATTTGGTGAAGATGCTGCAATAACATATGAACACAGCTTTCACTGAGTAAGGTACAAAAAACAAAGTTTGGGCCAGATGTAGCTCTGTGCCATGTTTGTCACTTCTGCTATTTACACACATTCGCTTAATTTTAAGAAGCTGTCAAGACACTCTCTTCAAGAGAAAACTCTTGCATTTGTAAGAAGTTCAAAATCCAAATGGTTTGTCTGGAGCAAGTATTTCCAGCATCGTATTCAGAAGTGTGTGCAGAAACCGTTTTTCACAAGAAAGCTTTAGAGACCTTCTTACCAAGCATCTGAAATAGGTATCTAATTTACTATTTACGGGCCAACCTTTAAAACCCAGAGGATTAAAGCCACTCTCTCTCTCTCTCCAGGTTTCAGGGAATGATGAGTGGCTATAAAAGCTGAGGCAATACTCTTTCTTTCACAGCACTTCAATATTCTGAAGTTAAAATGAATAAAATCACTCACCTAAACTCATACAGCAGCAGGTATGTTTAAAAATCTACAAACCAAATCCTTACACAGGTCAACATACTGTGCATGTGTTTTTTTTTAAACTTTTGCATCTGCTGCGCACTTCTTTAACTTGCTGGTTTTGGCTGGGGTAGAGTTAAATTTCTTCCCAGTAGCTAGTTTGGGGCTACGTTTTAGATTTGTATTGGAAACAGTGTTGCTAACACCGGGATATTTTAATTATTGCTGAGCAGCACTCACACAGAGCCAAGGGCTTTTCCGCCTCTCACCCCACCCCACCAGTGAACAGGCTGCAGGTGCAGAAGAAGTTGTGAGAAAACACAGCTGAGACAGCTGACCAAAGTGATATTCCATATCATATGCTGTCATGCTCAGCACAGAAAGCTGGGAGAAGAAGTAGGTGGTGGGGGACATTCAGAGTAACGGTGTTTGTCTTCCAAGTAGCTGTTATGCATGACTGAGCCCTGCTTTCCTGGAGATGGCTGAACACCTGCCTGCTGATGGGAAGCGGTGAATGAATTCCTTGTTTTGCTTTACTTATTAAACTGTCTCAGCCCATGAGTTTTCTCACTTCCACTCTTCCAATTTTCTCCTCCATCTCACCAGTTTGTTGGCAAGTGGGCTGGTGAGCTGGAGTTAAACCATGACACATAACTAAGACTTTTGTATAGGGGTGGGAGGAAGGGTAGAGGATTCTTAGTCTAGTTTTTAAAGCAATTACAACAGAGTATTTTATCATCAGGAGGAAAACTATCTGATCAACCACTCGAACCTGAGTCCCTCAGAAACTACTGAAAGACTAACTATTCAAAGTTAACCAAGAATGAGGAGTTAGTGAATAAGTGGAAAATGCCCAGGTAATTTTCGAAGTCTACATACCTGAAGTGCTATGAACGTTGGTGAAGGAATTGTCAGAGGCACTGTAGGGCCAGGCACCAGGTGAAGGCAGCGAGGTGTTGAGGGAAGAATTAGACCCTATCACAGGGAAAAGGAGAGAGAAAGAGTAGACCAATTTCACAGATTTCTGTAACACTGTTAAAACCTCAAGAGAGCCACAACTGTGCCAAGCTGTCAATGTGATAAAGCAGCCGCAGTGTAAAAAAGCACACAGGCTTCCTTCTTAGTCAAATGCAATAGACTATTACCCTGTTATGAAAGGAACATCAGAATATTCTCAAATATGAGAATGACTAAAATAATTACATAGCAGTTATTCACTGTTTTACCTGTGGTGTTGTCCCGCAGAAGTTGGTGGTCAGTATCTACAATGGGAGATGTGGCTGTCCCCCCCAGCACACTTCCAGGGGTCACATAGGGGTCAGATTCAGGGTCAATGTTTTGTATACCTTTCCATGGCACTCCTGGTTGGAACTCTGGAATGGGAGGGGAGAAAGAAATTAGATGCAAAAAGGGAAATGCCATTTACTAGAAGCAATTGTTAAAGATATTTTAGGAAGGCAGGTAATTGTCTTCTACACTGTTCCTCAGAAAAAATATCAAGACATTTCTTAATTAAAATCTGTTTCACATTTCCTCCCACAGCACTTGCTCTGGTGCCTAAATACAAGTCTACACTACAAAAAGTAGCGCAAGTGCACAGGGTAATCCTTCGACTATTCCTGTTTTACTACATTTAAATGAGGCTTCAATAGTTACACCCTTCCTTAACACATTATATATTTTTTAAGATATGCAAGATTATAATATATATTTTAAGATTATATTCTGCACACACACTTTGTGTACGTGCAGAAACCTTTCTCAAAGAAAGGCTACCTACCTTAAAGAGTTTTTAAACAGAACATTTGACATTTTATACTCTAGGTACACACACACTACATATTAGCTAGCAGTATTGAGATAATGCTAAGATGAGATGCCTTGTGGTCAAAGCAATTTATATATTCACTGATGTTCTTCATGCTTTCAAATGAGATGGAGTATACTTATTCTTTCCTTTCCTTTCAACTATAGCTCCAGGCATGTCATATTTTTAAGACAAGATGAGTTATATGAATTACGAACATACAAAAAATGCAGTTACTCTAAGAAAGATCAGCAAGTTGTTTCCTTCTCTGACTAGATGTTCAGTGAACAAAGTGCTGTCCATTCTGGAAGCAGTGAGGGAAAAGTAAAACTGCCAAACACAAAAACAAATAAAGAAGCTTCAGATATGTGACAATTTGGGTGTGAAAAGAGTGCAATGGTGGCAGATTCACCCCTTGCAGACAGAAGTCCAGGATATGGAATGATACCTTTATTTCCAATCTGAAGTTCTGAAATAATTAATGGCAAAATATTTGTGTGTAATTAAAAATCCATTATTAAAATTAGGATCCAGAATGTGCTCTTTGTGATGAAACCATGTAGCGTAAACCTGGTATGGAAGGGTTCATTTCAGTCACCTTTGTAACGAAGAAGCATAGTCAAGACTGACTTTCACAAATACAGAAGAAAATGTGATACTACTTATTCAAACAACTGGCACAGCAGCAACAACAGTATTAATGCACTGGCAGGAGAATCTCAAAAGATGGAAAAAATGCTCCACTGGGTCTAAAATGTGGTTTATTTAGCCCAGCATTCTGCTAATAGTGGTGGGAGAGATACCATTTAGGGACAGAAAGCAAACTTGGCTACTACTATCTGTAGGCTACTGCCCTCACACTCTCCCAGCACCTACAGTCCTTCTACCCAGGATGCCAGAAATACCCTCAGTCTGGGAGCACCTGCTTGTGAAACACTTATTCCACTGGTTTATCCAATCACTGTTTCAACTGGCTAGTAGCATTTGTCTCCAGAAGTTCTAAAAGCAACATATTCCACAAGTTCACCACTCTTGAAAGGAAAAAAAGTTGTCAGTTGCTTAAAGTATATGTTCTTTTCTATCCAGCATTTGCACCAAGGTTCTAGTGCTGCAGAATTCATAGGATGACAATTCTGCATTTATCTTGTTCACTGCTTTCCTGATTTTGCAAACCTCAATCACATCTCCCAATCTTTAGTAACAAAATCATCTAGCATACAAGACATCAACATTTCCAGCATTATGAGCAATCAGCACTGCATCAAGGCAGGAATCTGCTCAGCTACTCCCGAAATACTGCAGTAGTCTGACAAACAGAATCACCTTATGCTTAAGGAACAAGCAATGCAGCTCTTGGGTCTAGTCTGAGATAAAGAATCCATGAACTCAGGTTAGGATCCCGAAATTAGAACTCATTTGCAGAAATTAAAAAGATATAAGTCTGGCCTTTGTAAAGATTTCTAAGAATTGGTGAGACTGAAAATTAAGTGCATAGTAAGTGCCGATCAAAACAATAAGGAATATTTAAACAAGGCTCCAAAGACCAGACATAGTGTATATAAACATATTCACTCATCAATCTAATCCTGGTTTGGAATTTTCCTTGAACCTCAGCATACTGACATATTTTCAAACTATCCTTTGGGACTGGCAGTTACGCACATTCAGCAGCTTTCCCTACAGACATGCCTGATTTCTAGACAGTAAAGACAACATGAAATGCATTTCTCCACCGATATCCCAAAGGTTCTCCCAAAAAGTTCAAATATAAGATTATTAGGAAAACCACGACAGACATACCCAAGCCAGACTGCCTGCAGAATATGACTGAACTGCTCTTGAATGGGAAATTTACAGACTAGTATTACCTAGGTATGCAATTCTGTGTGACGCAACCAAAGATACAGTTCTCACCAATGCAGCAACACTTGCTCTCACCTCCAGCTGTGATTATCAGTTTGATTAGGCACCACTTCACTTATCTTTATGCTGAACAAAACTGCTCTCTTGAACAGCAGAATTTCTGCAGCAGATGGCATTTCAGAGGAAAATGTGAAAGGTGAAGTCAGGGTGAATACTGAGTGACCACTGTATTCATTCAAAGGAAAATGCACCTATTTCAAGATACTCCCGCTTGTGAACTCATTTTTGTCACCAGCTTATTTTCCAGCAATAGGAATTAAAATATTATCTCCACATCAGGAACTGACAGTGGGCCTCATCTACAAGCTTACAGAGAAAAAGGACCTGCAGTGTAAAATCATTTTGGATCTTTATTCTTTCATCAGGGGTGTTGATATGGAACCAATAAGCTAGAGAGGTTATGAGACAGCTTAAGTGGCTGTGGTTATGGGACAAAAACATTTGTCCAATAGTCTATGGACCTCATAAGAGAGGGCTAGCAATACAGCAATAAATGTTTAAAAGCCACATGCCAAACCCCATGATCTGTTACATGACATCTGCAGTCACAGTTATGGGCTATTAATTTATACAAGAAATTTGGGACAGTACTGATGAACTTGGTGAGTTTCTATTCAGGATTTGTAACCTCCAGTTATCCTCTCACAGTGGTGAGGCAGTCAGCACCAGAAAACAGTTATCACTGACAGGGAGACTGCAGGTATGACTAAGAAAGCTCTATGGTATCAATGGGGGGCAAAGAGTAGCTGTTCAGCTTCTCAAGTCTGCAACAGCCTTCTGCTACCAAGAATCTTGCCAGAATCAGCAGCTACCCCAAAACCTGTAAACAGGGAAGAGCTGATTTTCACATACCTCTCCTAACATTCCAAGGAGTACTGCATTCCTCACTACTGTATATGAGAAAGGTGACTGAAAAGACAAGTTCAGCCAAAATGAGTCTATGAGGGAGGTCCCGAAAAAAATCAAAATTTTGGTGGTTTCTTGCATTATTAATAGTAACTCCAGCTTAAGAACCAGGCTTTACCAGAAATGGTACTGAACCACCAGGCTAACAGAAATGTAATGCAAATACACCTCTACAGAGAGCAGTCAGTGTTATGAAATGTGGGTGTGCACATGTTTATGAGATAATTAATTCTTTAACTCTGTTACCTCATCAGAAAACATTTTCTTGCCAGAGTTAGACACTGGGGGCTTCCCACACAGAATCAACTAGGTTGGAAAAGACCTTAAGATCAAGTCCAACTTTAACAACTTCTGTAGGTTTCCTCAGTTGTACTGGTCATACAGATTCCTAGGCTTTCTGATGCAAGGTCTGAACTACTGATTTACCCAGAAGATACACCTGCAGCTTTATTTTTTTGTATCAGAGGGGATACAAAGCAGAGAATTTGCAGTCAAGAGTATTTCCTTGGAATGCAAGAGCCTTCCAGGCAGAGAAAAATCAGAGCCTTCACTATGTGCTGAACAGCACTGGTGATTAACCCATGCAACTTCAAGGACACCACTCTGTGTCCAATGAATGTTTTATAAAGAAAATGACACGTGTATTCAAATACACATATATTTTTCCTAGATATCTGAGTTTTCTACTGGAAAGACAAAATTCTGCCAGTGAAACTCTAGAAAGCTTAAAGAATGTGCTACTGCCTATAATCCAAAACTCAAGAAACTTCTACTCAAGCCACAAGATTGCTGTGTAGTACTGAAACATGGCCAACGCTCCTTTACATGACATGAGCAAGGTGAACCACAACAACACAGCACATATTGTATGTGCACTGTACCAATACCGCTGGCAAGGGAAACCTTGTGGTCTGCAATGGACCATATTTGTGAACAGTTGCCAGAAGAAACGTTCACGCTACATAAAATACAAAAGGTCAAGAAAATCCTATTCCCACCATCATGAAAAACAAGCTTTCACATCTTTTGCTTTCCGATTCCACGCTCTCAGTGAGAATTTTTACACCCTGTGTCAGTCTAGCACAATGCAAAAAAGGAGTCAATACAAGAGGAGGGAGCTAGTACTGTGTATTCTATGAACAAGTGTTCTCATGGAAAGTTCTGTAAATGTAAAGTCACCAAACTACAGAGAGTTCACCTAACAAAACCAAAATAGTAGTCAGGTAATCCAGCAGTTATTTCATATTTAGACCAGCAATTTTTAACTAGAAATTCAACATTTACATTCTAATTTAATGTGGAAAAAAATTTAAAAAACAAAACAAAACAGGCCAAGCAAATATTTTCCTTGCAGTGGTTATTTAAAAAGCACAATGAGGAAAGTTCCCAGCACACCTACTCTAAAGTGAGGACATAACCCCTGCCCTCATGCAGTACCTGGAGGCCAGCTGGCGTTGCTGGATTTGCTTCCAATCTTGTTCGTTGGTGGAGATTTGGCAGGTAACCAACTATCACCAGCATGGCCACCCAGGGGGTCGCCCTGAATTATGTCGAATTGGTTGTAGGGCGATCCTCCACGAGTCTTCCCAGGGGGCACTATTGCACCTGAGCATTAAAGAGACACATTTACACTTGGGAAAGGGTGGGATCTTTACCAGTATGGGATACTACACAAAAAAATACTTAAGATGCATATTGCTAAGACATCCACTAACTTGAAGCATAATTTTATATGAGCTATTTCACCTCCAGTAAAGAGGATACTGCAAGAACATTCCCAAAATAGCCAGTCCCCTTCTCACCATTTTTGTGCATATTGGCATCTTGTGAAGCCACAGAGGGCAGCCCTTCCATCATAGTCCACTGCTTAAAGCGGGATTCTGTTCCAGCCTCCTTCCCTCCCACCATGCCATAATCCATGCTACTCGAGCCAAAGCCTGTGAAACAAACAAACAAAACTCCACTGTCATTCACTCTTTTTAGTTTAAACATCTTTAAACAGGGAATCATTGTTATCATAAGAAAGGTATTAAAAAAAAATCAAAAAAACAACAAAAAAATCAACAGTAGCAAATGAAATGTTCAAGGGGCAATTTCCAAATAGCCTGTTAGGTCAATACACCACACCAGGATATGCTTTGTTATTAGGTTTGTCATGTTCCCATGTAATGAAAAACAATGCAGTTTCTTCAAGTGCTGATAGCTGTCGTAACCTTTACCCTAATGTCGATATGCATTTCATAGTTATTTCTGGACTCACTCATGCAGGTTGAGAGAGGCGACTCTCCCCCTCTACCCTGATCTCATGAGATATCACCCGGAGTACTGCGTCCAGCTCTGGGGCACCCAACACAAGAGGGACATGGCCCTGCTCAAGCGAGTACAGAGGGCCATGAAGTTGCTTCCAAGGGCTGGAGCACCTCTCCTATGGAGACAGTCTCAGAGAGTTGGGCTTGTTCAACCCAGAGAAGAGAAGGCTCCAGAGAGACCTTAGAGCAGCCTCCCAATACTTAAAAGGGGCCTACAAGAAATCCTGAGAGGGACTTTTTGCAAGGGCATGTAGCAACAGGACAAGGGGGAACAGCTTTAAGCTGACAGAGGGTAGATTTAGATAGGATATTAGGAAGAAATTCTTTACTATGAGACATGGAACTGTTGGAACAAGTCCAGAGGAGGGCCACAAGGATGATTAGGGGATTGGAGCACCTCCTGTATGAAGACAGGCTGAGAAAGTTGGGGCTGTTCAGCCTGGAGAAGAGAAGGCTGCGTAAAGACCTCACAGCAGGCTTCCAGTAACTGAAGGGAGCTTATAAAGATGCTGGAGAGGAACTATTCATTAGGGACTGTAGTGACAGGACAAGGGTAACGGGTTTAAACTTAAACAGGGGAAGTTTAGATTGGGTATAAGGAAGAAGTTCTTTACTGTAAGAGTGGTGAGGCACTGGAATGGGTTGCCCAGGGAAGTTGTGAATACTCCATCCCTGGCGGTGTTCAAGGCCACGCTGGACAGAGCCCTGGGTGAAATGGTTTAGTGTGAGGTGTCCCTGCCCATGGCAGGGGGGTTGGAACTAGATGATCTTATGGTCCTTTCCAACCCTAACTATTCTATGATTCTATGATGAGGCACTGGAACAGGTTGCCCAGAGAAGCTGTGGCTGCCTCATCCCTGGAAGTATTCAAAGCCAGGTTGGATGGGGCTTGGAACAACCTAGTCTAGTGCAAGGTGTCCCTGCCCATCGCGGGGGGAGTTGGAACTGGATGACCTTTAAAGTCCCTTCCAACCCAAACCATCTGGGATTGTGTAATTGGCAAATATGGCAATGCAATTACCATATTAATAAGGTATCTACAGGCATTCAAATCGCTTTCCACAGAGTACTTACCTGAACCGTATCCAGGTATTTGACCTTTGGTCTGTAAATCTGAGAGACCCACATTCAAAGGATTGGGTACCATGCTGTCTAAATGTGGCTTAGGCCCAACAGGGTGGGATGGTGAATGCTTCATGCTAGGCTGCCTCTGCTGCTGCTGCTGGAGGGCACTCACCATACGAGCAATCTGCATATGAAAGAAATGGGAATGATACACCCTATACTGTAACACAGAATTTCAGTAAACATGAAGAAACAGTGACTTGAAAGGGATCCAAAGGACCTTGCTCTCTACAAAGTGGAATCTGAAGAGAGCAGATGACATTGCTAAAGCCTGTGCCGTCTTTACTGCAGACTGCATTTTCCCAGTGCATTTTATACTTCATATGATTGACAAAACCAGTGCCACACCTGTTGCTCCTGCTGTTGCCGCACAGCTTGAGATAACTTCCTCTGGCTCTGTAACAGTTGCTGCTGCTGCTGTTGCTGAAGGAGGAGCTGACATGCCTAGGAGGTAAGGGGGGTGGGAAGAGTGAAAACACAGCGCTCAGCAGTGAAATGCAATTGCCAGGAGGTAGTCACTAGCAAAATGCTTTGCTCAGAACTTAGGTAAACTGTTTCTCATTCCACACAGTCAAATACAATTATACTGAATGCATCAACACTACTTCTTTCACTTGTTTCTAATTTAATCTCATGCAATAGTATTACTAGTACCTGCTTTATTACCATCACTATGGCTAGAAGTCTAAATAAGACATTATTAAAAAAATCAACACACAACTGCTTTTTGTACAAAGACATAGCTTAGAATCATTACTAACTCACTAAAACACAATAATTACACAGGCCCGTTTAGTTTATCTGCTGCCCTCTAACAGGCCTGTACTTTCTTGCACAGTGAACAGGATACTTGTTACAAAAGTAATACAAGATCAGTAGAACAAACCAAAATTACAACAAACAGAAGGAAAACTCTTACAACAGACAATTTGTAAAAACTCTGTCTCACAAGATTAACAGTTACTTACTAATTGAAACTGGGGAATCTGTGGAAGCTGGCTCAGCATGGCAATCTGTTGCGGAGAAAGCTGGGGGCCCATATTGAAAAGACCAGGATTCAAGCCACTGTTGGGAAATTGTTTGAGCATGGAGGCCGAAACCTGCATGGAAATCAGTTACATACCCTCAAGAAATGCACTGCTATGAGAAAAGATGATGAAGCATTTCTATAAAGCAACAGGTATGACACCAATCTTAAATGGTGCTCTGGGAAAGACATTACAGATTTCTTAACAGATGACATTTAAACGTGCACAATCTATGACTTGAGCAGAGTGAATACCTCATTTGATTGACAATACAGTATTTACATGTGCAGATGCAGACAGACACAGAAAGGTTCCTTCCCCAACCAGTCAGTTGCTAGAGACTGAACTAAAGTAACTAGTAATCACAGTACTGCATTATCACATTAAGAACGTACTGCTTGACAAGGGAAAAGAAAGGCATTCAGGCAGTCATCAGAGCAAAGAAACAGTGCCTCACAGAAAGAGTTAATCCCTTTGTATGCTGAATAAGCTATAGTAAAAGACAGGAGTTGGTGGAGAAGAATCCCCGCTTTCTCCCTGCATTATTTCAGAGTTACACGAATAGAATTTAAAAGAATCTCCAAAAGCCTTCACCAAATCGAAAGTAAAAGGTTAACTTTTGCATTTGGAGATCCTGAGGTCTTAGAACTCTGCAATGTAAGTGCAACATAGAGTACTATGCAAGGCCTCTCTTTTCAGGGGGGCAAGAAGCACAGGACAAGACTGCTTGAAAAAAATTAAGCAACTTGTCAAACATCAGAAAAATTTTCAGCTTTCACTTTCTTTGTTGTTTTTTAAAATAGTTTGCAAAAACCTACGTAAGACACAGGATTCCTGAATCTATTATGAGGTTTAAAAATACTGATAGCGAGCATTTACCATCAACTTGGAATAAGAAGGCTAATAATAATAATAAAAAAAGTACTAATAATAAGTACTTCCAACTATAAATTTTACTTATCTAAATTTGCCATTTCTTAACAACAAGTCAAGATTAAGACAGATGTGTCAAGTAACCTCAATGATGTGGTCTGAAGGCTGTAGCCCTACTTTTGCAAGTAAGCAGTTACTATAAATTCCTTACCTGGGGAGAAAGAAATTGGGGAGGCACTTGCGCCCGGATATTGGGGGAAGGATTTAGTGGCTGCACTGGTGTGTGCATGCCCCTCGATTGTGCTGTGCTGTTTCCAAACAAACCATGATTGCCACCCTACAAAATTAAAGCAGTAGTGAGAAGATGAATCTTTCAAGATAATGGATTTCTATGCTATTAACTACATATCAATAACAATGAGGCAAGTACTGACTTCAACAGAGTACCCTTAGGATTACTGAGATGTTTGCCCTACATCAGTAATATTCTACCTGGGTTAAAACTGCTGTACTACATTTTTGATACGCAGGCTCTTTCTCCTCTACATTTAAGCGTCATGTTTATCCACTTACTTCAAAGCACATGACAAAGCTAATGTTTTGTATTTTGCACTTAATATGTTGGGAAATGGAAACTTGGGAATACAAACAACACACTCAAAAAAACATTCACTGGCTTAACAGCATGGCAAGACTATGACAGCAAGAATTCTGCGCCATCATTTTAGACAAGTCAAGTTGAGGTATCTCTCACAAGCCTACTACCTCCTCTGAAGGCCTTTTACTAACTTAAATTAGAATTCTAAAATTTTATTACAAATCCTCCTTCCAACGTGAAAATGTCAACATTCTAGATTGGGATGTTTTTCTTTTCCTTTTTTCCCCGCTAAATTGAAGAGGGGGAAAATCTTCAAGTGAGAAAAAGTGTTTGGTTGTTTTCTCCCACTGACTTATTTTCTAACTGCAACAATACTTGCTGTTTAAGGGTGTTTTTTTTAAGGAGAAGAATTTACTGTTTTATAAGCAACTTCTGTAATAAACCCTACTGCATGAAAAAGACCAAAGAAAATTCATCATTCTGCTTCACTATTTCAGCCTCTGAGCTGCCTGCCTGCCTTTGTAACATCTTTTGACGAAAGCCACAGGAAACGTTATGGACTGTCTCCTACACTAACAGTTGCATGCTGTTGCTTCTAAAAGCAGAAGCTTGTATTCCAAAAGGTCCTTATGTGCCATGATTCTGTCCTTTCAGTTCCATGATCCTCAGCACTTCTCATCTTGTGCTGTACATGAGGATACCTATGATCCTCAGATACCTGGGGTTCTAAACAGTACATTTTCCATCCCTCAACCATCATTCTCTGTTCTCCCTCTCCATGCCAGCACTGCTATATCCAACTTAAATTCATCATCCTTCCAAATTGGGATTGTGCAGGCCTTCTCCAAAACTTTCCCTTCCTTACATACTGAGGTTTCATGAACTTCTCCTCCCTTCTACCACAATACTGTGCATTCTCCACTATCTTTTTGCTAAAACTGAAGTCTCTAATCCATCTTCTATACTGACAGCATTATGACTTGCCTCATTCACCTGCATCACATTTCACTTTCTTAATGTATCTTCCCTTTCAGAAGAAACTCAAGACATCACACTAAGTAGGAGGATAAACAAAACAAAAAACAAGAGACACAGTTTTTGTTCTGGAAAGAAATTACTGGGGTCAACTACGCATTAAAATTTCTGAGAGGCTTGAAGCTGCACCTACACTTTCAGCCCTCCCTAAGACCCAACAGAGTTCTGCACACCAAATCCAAGAACATGCTTGCAAAATTCTGACTTAATCTGATGTTCAACACTGATTGTGTCACATAGAAACAGAAAGACAACACAAGGAAACACCATCATGTTAGGCATGTGACTACATAAGCTAGTCCAGCTGCAATACTAAGGTTCTAATCTTTCATTTCCTAGTATTCCTCCAACATTTTCTTCTAGCATAACGCAAACCATAATAGCCGAAATTCTTCTAAACTGCAGTTAACAACTTCATTTCTTCCCTGCTATTCCCCTGTATAAAGAACAAAAACACTGCTACTTCAAGAGTTTTTAAAGGCTGCTAAATCAACTCTTTCCTTAGGTTGCAAGGAAGGGAGAGGGGAACAGGCACAACGCAAAATGACTGCATTTTTTTAAAGGCACATTTCTACATACAAGGTCATTGGATGGAGTCTGCAAAAATTCAGTGTTGAGGTGGTGGGACAAATCAACAGCCTCCAAGTGGGTTTTAAAACAGCAATTAAAGTATGAAGGTTGCCAGTAACTTCATGACTTCTGAAAAGTGCATCTATCTGCTGCTGTCTGCGATTCAGGAAGTAAGAGGCCAACAAAAACAGGTGTGATACATTCTGATAACAGGAACCAAAGTGGACTGATTCTCAATGGGCTGATATATCTGAAATTTCCATTAACAATATTAATTTATTTAGTAGGAAAACAAATGCAAGCAACCAACTAACCAGGATTAAGCCCAGGTTGCAGCCTTATAACAATGCATCTTATAAGGTGGCCTGCTTACTTGTCTAGCAGCGAAGTTTTGGGGACTGAGCCCTGAGCCGATTGCCCCAAGGCTGACGTTGGATAGTGTGGAACCAGAGGGAGACAGCTTGTAGCTGGGAGAAGGGGAGAAGGGAGAGCAGGGAGCCTCATCCCCAAGGCACCCATCTTGATTGGAGAAAGGCAAAGTCAGCTGAAGCAGCAGTTAGCCAACAGCAGGAGTCGGTTAGTGAAGCAACAGAACACAAGAGGAGAGAAAGAGGGACAGTGAGTGACTAGGAAGAAGCAAAGTTAATTTGTAATAGCAATTACAAGGACAAAACTTCTGACTTAAATGATCACTTGACAATGAAGATTTTGGTCTGAGGAGTTAATCAATAAACTCCTAGAGGTTTATTTTTAAAAATACGTTTTCAACTCTCATGAAGTTAATTTCTGACAGTGGCTATTACCACTATAGAAACAAACACATCTTGAATGAATCCCTAATGTTAGCACACACCTATGAAAATAATGTTAGGACTGCATCAGCTCTGCTAGTGGGATTTTATTTATTAGGCCACCAGAGGGAGTTGACAAAACTGGGTTTTGGCCTGTTCTACCAAAATGGAGGAGTTAAAAAACTTCATTGACAGTAACACGCCTTCAGAATTTTTAAACCAAATTTCTTTTCCATTTTACATGTGACAAACTGTATTTAAAAAACACCTAAAACATTCTGAATGTACTGGACACTCTCCAATTCATAATGTGAAGCAATTAATGTTTGATAATAATAGTGAAAGCTTCTATTTAAAACAAGCAGGAGTATGAAAGAAACACTACCATAACATACAACAGATGTCACAGAGAAACAGATGTCATACAGAAGCTTACAGTACATGGACATACAGCATAAGGGGTTGTGGAATTTAGAAAGCGTGTTTCCAATAAACGACAGACATGAAAGCAGAAAAAACTTGGAAGACTGTGATTACTTATGTTTAATTACATCTAAACCAACTTTCTACAGTAGATGATGGTAGTCATAGCCAAAAGAATCACTGTGATGAAACCTGTAATGAATTTCATTGCTACTGGTAGTTTACCCTTCCAAGAAAAGCAAAGGGATTTCTTTCTATCTATATTAAGAGCAGTCTGTTCTAGGATAAAAAGCCTTATTCTCCCCAATAATTTAGTTTGTCTATGCGGCTCTGTTTTACATACATGTTCATTCTACAAACATAACTCCCCTGCACCTTTTATTGCTGAGTTAGAAAAGGTTACTTGATTTTTTAGCATTTCCAGGGAGTAGTGTAAAAACTCGGACCTCACAGAAGTCGATATTAATTTATATAAAGGTATTTTTCTCACCTTCTCAAAATAAGGCCCACTATCTGTGGTTCCCATGTCTTTGGAATTAGATGGACGGAACCCAGATCGATCCTTTCTCATCATGTCATTAAAATCCCCAAGATTCATGGTTCGTTTATCTACTTCAAACTTCTTATCTGGGAGACCACCTGTGAAAAAAAGACGAAGATGAAATTAGTGCCAATAATCTCTACCATTATCATTAATGATGGCTGATGACAGTAAGTTCACAGCCAAAGGAAGTATCTTTAAGATTAGGGTATAAATTAGATCTGTCTTATAATTTAGCATAGCTACAGTTGCTATTAAAAGTGCTGAAAAATCAAAGTAGGCAGCTTCATTTTTAAGACTGAACAAGCCAATTTAGAGTTCAATGTGAATATTTCTCACAACTTACGTACAGATATAAACATACGCATTTCTACAGCAGCCTAGTTCAACTAATGATATTCACTTACACATAATTTTCAATGTCTTCTGAAATTCACACTGTTATTTATTGGTATTCAGTATCTATAGAGACACCACTATTTAAGTTCTGTACTTAGCTTTTACTGGGTTTGGCATCAAGAAATAATTTCTCAAACTGCAAAACCATGCACATAATTTGATCACAGCACTTCCGTAGTCATGCGAACTTAACTCTTGAACACCACAAATCATCTGGTACACTGTTAACTTCCAGACAGGCAAAAAATCTCCCTTAGTTTGTAGGCAATGGTTACAAAACCAGTAACAGAGATACTTTTCAAACATCCCCTGCAGCCTCCTGCCATAGTTTAATGAGTAATCCAGTGGAACATGAGGAAGAGATGTTAGTAACAGACAATCAAACTGTAATACAAAGTGAATAAGACATCCCCTTTCTCTGTAAGCTTATCATCAGCCACATGCTTACTGAAGGAAGCTTTCTACCTTACACACTAAACAGCTACCAAGGAACTATTTCTGGGGTCATATTGGGCACCTGCAAGGTATCAGATACATAGTGCTATGTTGAAGTAGATGGAAAATATCTTTGCTTTAAAATATGGGCAGTGTGACAGAAATCAGCTTTACTGGTATTTTTAGGTTTAAGTAACTCCATTTAGTAGCACAGATGGCCTTTCCAAGAATGGTTTAAAAAGCCTGTCACCACAGTTAACCAAAAACTATGACTCTTCCAAAGAACTGATAGCTATCCTACCCTACAACTGACAAAATACAGTCTTTATCGAACAGAGCAGACAGCTCATCACACCAATACCTTCAAAACGCTTATTTGTTCCTCAAAAAAGCTTCTCAAAGCCAGAATATTTTCTTAATGCTCCATCACAAACTGTTAATATTCATAGATATGTTATTGGCAAGAACATGTGAAATCAACCACTAATTAATTACATGGGGTTTTCCTGCTGGCACAGCTTTGAAAGTTCATCCAGCTTCATCCTCTCAGATGCCTTCAACATCATTTATCACAAAAACACTTGACAAATCTTGGTTTGTAACTGGAGTCATACTGACCCGGATGAGCTCATGTCTTTCTAGCATATCCTAAAAAGCTAGAACTGGCTCTGCAGAAGTAGTCACATAAAACGTCATCTACATCTCAATCCTGTCAATACCTACATCTAACAGCTACATACACACAATGCCAGCAACGCACTACCAAAAGGCTTTCATGCTTTAATTCTATACAAGGAAGCCCTGCCCATTAGTTGCCTGAAAAGAAACTGAAAGCAAGACCGAGTTGCATCACTATCTGAAATGAAACTGGGTGGATGCCAACACAAGCTGGCTAAGACACAGAAACACCCTTTCGTCTCTTCAGTTATCCTGGTGATCCAATCAACTCATCAAACATTACTGAATAATGCCTTGTGAAACTCCTTGGTAAATAACATGGAGAGCCTATAGCAGTACTTTTAAAGGGTTCCAGCACAGATATGCAAGCCACCTAGTGCTGAGGCACCTGCTTAAACTTCAATACAAACAAGGCCTTGCTAAGAGAGATGATTCATTTATCCCATTCATAGAAAATTCTAATGCAACCTTGAAACCTGTTGTGTGAGCCTGTCTTTTGCACTTGCCAACAAAAGCTGTAAATAATGCAGGTGGCTGAAGACCTGCTTTACCTTACATATTACAAGACTACTGTTGAAATCTGGAAAGTCTGAATTTTACCCTCTGCATAGGCAAGAACACTTGTGCATGAATAAACATGAAGCTTTAAATCCTCTACATGTGGAAACGCAGAACAGGTTAAAAGTCCAACCATCTTAATAAAAGACAACACTCCCATCAGTTATTGGATTTTACCCACTATTAACACTATGAAAAATGTAAAATGAAACAAGAGCTTGGAGGATGACATTCACACCCTAGTGAGGCAAAGATGACTGTTAAGTGCAACAACTCCACCACATTCACACAGGCCAAGAAGAAGAAAAAAAACCTTGAATTCTATATGAACGAAATGATATATAATGTGTTTTATACCAGGAGACAGGAAACAGAAACCACTGTTGATCAAAGTTACCTAAAATATTTGCAAATAACAGACTCAACACAGTGAAAACACACATACCCCACAGGGTAACCCAAATGGGAGAAAAATCTCCCACATTTGAAATATTTTCTGCTTGACCACAAAACCAAAAACATTTTAAAGATACTCGGTTTTTACTTCTGCCATAAATTTACATCATCCAAGCCTACTGAGCAAGCACATGTACTTAGATATCATATGTGTTGCATATCAATGTACATATCATAAGGTGTTGCACCTGAATGCTGTATCTGGTTATGGTTTTGTAATGTCTTTACAACAGACAGCTGCATGAATTGCACCTGAATCAATAGAAAATGGAAATTAATTTCCCAGTCTTTACAGCTGACTTGAGTGTTCAGTGATCTGCAGAGGCTGCAGTTAATACATTAAAAAAAAAGAAATACAAAGGTGGCTGTCAAACAGAAGAAAGGAAAGGATGGAATATTAGGTGGTCCTGACTAACTACTTACTGTAGCAAACCTCATGCTTCAGGACCTCCATACTAGGAGTCATTTCAATGGAAAATGCGGTATCCTGTTTTCAAAGCAAAACAAGCTCCCCACTCAAAGGATTTGACAGAAAAATAATTTTAAAAGAGGAAGCAGACCTGCCTCAGGCATGCTACTGATCCATATCTCTTCTGCCTTGGTCACTAAATAAGAGTCACTCCAGCACCTTGCAACGAAAGCAACACAGTTTTCAAAGAAGATGACCGAGACCAACATAGTAAGAGTTATCTACTGACAACTGAAACTTTTTTACAACGCATGATGACCAAAGCCAAGGTGCTCCATATATACCAAAGTTTTATTCAGTATGTTTGGTTCCCAAGCACAGATTTTACTCTAAGATCAATGTGCATTTATCCATAAATTGGGAAAATACCATGCTGGGAGTTCTCATTAGGATAACCTGGTATGTTGTAAGCCTGACTGAAAAATCAGATGAAGCACAACCCTACCTCATAAGTAAGTCCAGCATTTAAAGTTTAGAAGTAGACACAGGCTGAGCAAAAGTTTATAGCTTTCCACAAGCAACTTCCATAAGCAATAAGAGTGAAACAGCTAAAGAGATCAGTAACAGAAAAGCATCAGGAAGATGTCACATTCTTTAACTCTGAAATGGAATACAAACTATAATAAATGCCTCTACCTAGGATCAAGGATGCCACCATTAATGATTATACTAAATTTAAAGAAGTGGAACAGATCAAAGTATGCAAAGACAAAGTATACAACGTTTCAGCATAATTCCACAGGATATGCTGAGCCTCAGCCATCTTTACTCAGAAGGCCTTATGGCCTTAAGGTACTTGAAAGCACAAAGTTCTAAAGGATCCAAAAGTTTAATTCGGCACTGAAGAACTATGAGAGCTATTATCAGCATAATCCAGGCTACCATCCTCTTCAGTTGTATGTTTTTAGATCTGTTCTCTGACAACAGCATCTGAAGGCAGATGAGAACTGAATATCCAAGAAGACAACTTACCTCTGTCTAGAAGATCTTTAGAGAACCATGATACAGTCAGAGCCTGAATTCTAGAGACGCTGTACTAAGTCAAAGTGCAGAGATCAAAAAAAATCTGTTACCTTCACCAAAACTATGTTGTGCTGTATACACACATGCTTTAACACCTCTTATTGGGATCCTTAACTATTCAGAGAAAGAAAGCAACTTTGTGGAAAAAAAAAAACCAACAAAAAATGAACTACATAATCCTCTATGAAGTGTGATATGCATTTTAAGAATGTAATGGATTCTAAGCTGAGAGAAACTGCAGCTATTTGGATTTCATTAGAGCAATAAATCTGGAGTTGATGTTAGATGTAAGTCTTGACTACCCCAACTCTACTTTTGGTACAAAGATTAATGAATATTCCCAATAAATGAAGTTTTCGGTTGGGAAAAACCTGACTACAGCATCACACAGGATGCTACAACAGTGGCAGATGAGGAAGTACTAAAGCTGGTGACAGCACTGATGCAAAGAGGGTTAATATCAGAGCAGACTTCTTGCAAGGCATAATACTGGAATAATCTGGTCAACAATACTAGAAAGGCACAGAAGAAGTATGGCAGAATCAGAATGGCACAGAAACTGCCGTAACAGCACAAGGGCCAGTTTCACAAGAACTGCTTCCTGTAGTCGCAAAAAATCTACTATTCAAATCAAGAATTAATATTTACACTGCTTGCATTTGCAGGGTTTGAACTTGTGCTACTGAGTTTTCCACTGCTACCAAAAGTCCTACAGTATAGGTTCAATTTCAACCATGTGGCCGTCATATCACTCAGACAGAAGACAGACAGAAAGTAGCATTCACTACTGCATTACTTTCTGGGGCTGGGGGAACACATCAGACTAGTCAATTGTCTTGACATCTGTAAAAACATCAACCCCAAGGTGGCATTTATCTAGGAGCAGAACACACAGCTTCCCCACTGTCACTGTTTGCTATTTAGATTAAAAAAATAATAATAATCCAGAAGTGAAACAAAAAGTTGCCACAACGACAGGACTGAATGCACCAAACTTAAATGTATATGATGCTGAAAAGTGACAATACTTAATATTTAGCACACATCCAGTCACACACCTGAAGATGAACTTCTATGGCAGGTAATATCTCAGGAGTACATAGATTATATCCTTAATGTTGGATACAGTCAACTCATATCACAGACCCCATGCTATTCTAGCATACAGCAATGAAATTTCAGAACATACTCTGAAAACTTGACTTGTAAACAATTTTAGTTGATCCAGTGATCCCACAGACTGCAGCCTGGCTCAGAACTACTTTTGCAGGTGGTTCTTCAGAGATACCACCAAGGGATCATAAGTAATTAATTCAAATTACACTCTCCCACAGGAAATTTAGAACCACCAGCAGAAAAAGCATTGGTTCCAAGTCAATCACCTCCTCCAGCCAGCCTTCTCCTTCTTACCAAGTCCTTGCTGTGCTCTCAGCACTGTATGTGCTGTATGTGTCCCTATCTTAACTGAGGTAGACACTTTTGGCTATTAGGCAAAAGTAGCTGAAAATAAGCTGCTTGGTACCGGAACGTTTTTAAATATGAAGCAAGTAAAATGGTTACTGTGTGACAGCATACTGTAGGTCTCAGGGATAATCACAGGAGAGTCAGAATCAATGGTGTCCACATCTTCATAACAAACTTGATTTGCACTGATACAGGGATCCCTTCCACCAAGAGAACCACCACATACACACTCCCCTGGAGCCCATAGGGCATACCTCATCTACACAGGAAATTCACTGTTCTAGATGAGAGCTGAGAATACTAATGCTACTTCGGCATACCATTCATTGGAATAAGAATTACAAGACCTCTGGCTTTTGCCATTTTAACTTGAAAGAATTTAAGGCCTCTGTGACGTTCCCAACAGTTACAGAAATAGAATTAACATCTCCAAAGTTGTTGTTAGCTTTGTCCAGAGGCAAAGTCCTTTAAGTGGACTAGACGATCCGTCCTCCTAGCTATGGGTATGAGATGGATCTTTCTGCCTCTGTAGTTTTTGAAGAATCAAAACCAGAACAGATGTTAGAACAGGAATGAAACCCTATTTCCCTTCATAAGTATCAAACGCTAACCTTACTAAGCCTTTAAAGACTTGATAACAAATAAAATACAACAATCGAAATAGCAGGTTTGGATCATCTCTTTTTTAACATGTATTTTAGGGATCCTGTAGGGAAACCATCTCAAGTGGCAGAAGATTTCAGGAACCTGTGATATTTCCACTGCAATAATATGACAGTGAACATTCAGAGACAATTTGGAGAACAAATGCAAAACCAAATCTGATTCCAAGATTTTAAATCAGTATTTCTGTGAAAGTGCACTATTTAGTCTGCTAAAGAAGAAAGTTATGACAAATTAAAAGGTGATTAAATGGGATTAATCCAAGTGGTCAATTCTAACTCCCATTTAAGACAGTGTTTTCCACACAGCCCATCCCACTTAAGCTGTGTGCAGTGTTGTGGTGAGGCTATGAAGAGTGAAAAATCTAGTTCTACTGAGCAGTAACTTGTAACAGCTTGAGGCAAAGCAATCGAAGAAATCGACTGCAGAAGACATTCTTCTCTCTCACATCACCTCCAGGGACCTATGGTAATTGGGATGTTCTACTGCCAAAAACCAGTCCTCCTCTTCCACCAAATGAAAAGGGATCTTCACTTTCTTGAAACAGTAACAATGAAAACAAACTACATGTATCAAAACGGTCTTACAGAATGTCCCCTTCCACAAGTTATACCTCCATTCTGTACAAGTACATATCCCAGTCTTGCCTAGCATTATCAGCTGTGTAACTATTCAAAGTCTACAGTCAAGACACTGGATGCTGTAACTCTACCCTTCTATTTGAGGAGTGCTAAAATCAAGATCAAACCTTTCCAAAACACAGCATGTCACCCACATAAAAATATTATATATGATCTCGTATTTCAAATGCACTTAAACTATACTCACCTACAGACAAGTCCATCTTACTGCCTGGAATGTCCTCAGTTTGACTCTGGAAGAAAAAAAAATTCAGTTCTGAATTCTATGAAATGCTGAGGAATGTTTCAGAAAGGTGAAATGAAGGAAAGGCATGCTTGTGCCAATCAAACTTTTGTTTTAAACTGTACACAAGGATTCTTGACATCATCCTGGACACAGCTCACCTCGACTCCCTAATGTTGTGTGTGACTAGCTTACTCATACGAAACCAGACACATGAACACATGCGACAGGCTGAGAAAGATGGACAGACAGCTGCTCTGCGAAATGAACCTCTGTCCTCATGTGCCAGTGGCTGAGAGATGAAACACTGAAAATAGCGGCCAAAATGATAGCTCATCCTCATGACCTGCCAAGCCATCAAACCTTGAAAAGTGCTGCCAAGTTATGATTTAGTTGGCAGTCCGGGACAGGGTGTTCCCATAGCTTTCAGAAGCATCTACAGTCTAGCAGGCTGAATTTGAGCTTGGGAGCCAACAGACATTACAAACTAATCCTAGTCAAGTCAGTGACAGTTTGTACAGCCCTGGGCTTCTCTCAGAACCTCTGTATTATCATCTTCTGCTAGCCTGCATTACATACTATGCCAGCTTCATAGGATGACAGTTGGCACAATATCCTGTAAAATGTTTTAAAAATTAGCATTTCAGAAGTTCTTAAAAAAAAGAAAAAACTATATGTAACTATTTTTAAGGTACCTCTCCGAAGATCTGTCTTTTCATGATGTGCCATTTGTTTATTCACTTTACCAATCAATCTCTATGTACTGATTAATAATGAGCTCTTTTTCTTCTAAAAAGACCCTGCTACATATTATTTAAAATATAAATAGCCAAGACAGACACAGGGCTGTAAGCCTCCTTTTCTGATAGGTGGCTGAGACTCAGAATGAATAGCCTTGGACTAATAACAGATGTCTGACACTACAGCCAGTAGCCTCTACCCTGAGTGCTCTGAAGAGCGTATTATGAAAATAAACTCCCCCCCCGAAAACACCAAATGCTGTTACTATCAAGGAAATTACAAACTCAGAACAAAAGACGTCATAACTCTGAAGAGTCAAAGTAGATTTGGGGGTTTTCTAAGAAGCCATTCTGAAATGCTGAATATTCAGCTATTAAAAGTAGTATAATCAACATACTAGCATAGCAAATGCAGATAAGTAGTTACTGTTAAACAGCTGATCTTTTGACTTATTTGAAGTTTACTGACTTCTTTATTTCTAAAAGTTGGATTTCATATTTTAAAAAATTTACTTACTAGCAAGCCCATATTTGAAAACTGTTTGGATAAAGGGTTCATCCATGAATCACTATTTCCTCCTTTTAATGCGCACTGAAGAGAGGGGGAAAAAAAAAAGACAAATATTCTTAAGCAACTTTTGGATTTCTTAAATTCTGTTTTTAGAAGTGTCAAATGATCCTGGTTTCAGAGAAACTTATTTCCTGAATAAAACACTAAGTTTTTGCACGGTTGGAAACAGTTACTAAATAATCTGTTTTATAAAATTCTTTACTGTTATGCATACCAAACTGAATGAACACTTCATGTGTATAATGAATGTTTCACAGCTTCAGTCTGGAATCTGCTATTTATGTTACGTATTTTTTTCTCTGTTACAGCCTAGTACATTCTTTAATCCACCACATATACAGAGGTAGACTTCTTCCCTTTAGGGTGATTTCTCTCACATGGGCACTGTGCTGACCTGACTCTCAATCTGACCTTACTGTAATTTACAGGTGATCAAACTGAAAACTGAACACATTTCAACAAAAAAGAAAAAAATGTGGACAGTTGCGTTGGTGGTTATAATAAAAAGAAGGCTTTGAGTGAGAAAAAAAGTTCATGAGAATAATTTTGCAAAATGGGAATTGTAAAACTCCATACCATGTCACAACTATTTCCATGTCCTAGGAAGCTGCTTTGGACTTGCTTTTTGAGTTTGCCCTGCCTGACTAAAAGTAATCAAGGCATAGTCCTAATATTAATACAGTACCAAGTGTTACTGTAGTAGAGAACTTTAACACAAACAAACCTTAGAAAGCAATTTACTTAGGAGTATAGCCAAACTCCTGCTCCTGTGTGAGGCCAAAGGTCAGTAACAACAAACACAGTTCCGACCTAAACACAGAAGTCGGTAGAAATAAGAAGTGCACATGCCAAAGGGACTGTGGAATTCAAACTCTGGTAGGCTATGCAAAGAGAACTGCAGCAGCCTAACACAGAAAGACATGTCAACAAAAGAAGAGCAGTAGCCTTGGGATACTTACTGCTCCGTTTCATTTAGTAATGCGCTGCAGCTTACATACTAAAGGAATTTGACACTTCTGGCAGATTTGTTAGTCACAAGAAGTATAATACATTAAAACAAATCAAAAACCTCACATTTTTTACACTGTTGTAATAGGCACCTTTCTATCTGAATTCTGTAATACATTTTTAAAATAAGAACTATTATAATGCTCTAACATATCAGTCATACTGCTTTCAGACAACACAGTAGCTATGAATCATTCAAGCATTTTACCTTCATTTGTGTTTTCTTTCCTCCTTGCCCCCAGCTTGTTGAGTTGTGGGAGGAATTGCTTCCCTGAGAGCCTGCTGTGTTCCAGACTCCTCCCTCCTCCTCCTCTTCCCAGCTGGAATGACGCGTTCCTGTCACTGGCCCATCACTCTCTCCCCAGCCATCTTGCATAGATTTAGAACCTTTAGAAAAAAGAAAGAAGCTTAAAAGCAGTCTACAATATCACACAGTGGTGATTTGCTACTGAAATATTAGCTGAGATCATCAGAACCCCAAAGGAGTTAAAAAGAAGTGTCTTCACTCTAACAGCTCTAAAAACTTGTGCATGAATCCCCAAACCCAAGAGATTTGGTGGCATGTTAGCATGTCATGTTTTGCAACTATTTTAAAGCAATAAAGATATAATAACCATAGGGATCTCTTCTCTTATACAGAGCTGCACTGGGATTTCTTTCAAAGGCAATATATTATCTTCTAGTGTAAATGAAAGAATTGAAGGAGACTTAAAAACCAAGGGTGCTGAGGACTTTGGTTCGGGTAGTTTATCAATTATTTCTTCTCTTGCTTCAAAACCTTAACACTTCCCTTGCATTAAAGTCTTCCACAAAACTACAGAACTTTAAGGAGTGACAACTAAATAGAATGTGAAGTAAAAGAAGCGACATTGTGCTCCAGTATATGTAACACCAAAAGTAGTTTCATGTGAAAAAAACCCCAAACTTCTCTGCTTGAATTTCTGTTTTAAACAGTGTCACTAAAAAGACTTATTAGCAGTGCTGTTTAAGTAGATAAGCCACTACCAAAAAGCTACAGACATTTCACCATATCATCTCAATCTAAGATTTTTTCCTTGTTTCTTTTCTTGCTGTTACTCTCTAGCACCGTCAGGCAACTCTGAATTCTAACCTCTGCCAACAAGCCACCAAGAGACCAAATCCTCATCTTGTCTACTGCCCAGCTGTTCTCCTTCCTGCTTAAACTCTTCACTCTGCATATTTATTCCCTGAGCATTTATATCCTTTAAAAAAGATTTAAATCATCATCACCTTTTTCATAACAAATTCTCAAGTTGTCTGGGGTTTGAGTGTGGAAATCAGGGATAAGGATATTAACACACATAGCAGAAAATCTGAATATAAAAAAGTCTGGAACTGCACTTAGCCTATTAAAGGGAACACTACCTTGATGACCCTGGAAAATAAGCACAGCAGCATTTCATGGCAGTTTAAGAGCTACCTCAAAATCCATCATAAATAACTCAGATATTTCCCAGGAAACATAACTTTTGGAAGTTGTGTACCAAAATTGAGGGCTGCTTAGGAAACATACTGGTCCAAGTACAAAAATTTACCTCTTGATCCTTTAATCATGCTATTTACACAGAAAAGGCTACATTTAAAGATTATGACTTCAGAGTCAAGAACTTCATCTGGAAATGTCATATATCGGATAGATAGTCTCTGCAGCTTTCATTTATTTCCAGCCACTGTTTTTTTTTTTTTAATATACTATGATCCTGCTTTTAACTACATGACTATAATTATTTCTCTGCATTGACAGCTCTCAGATCTGAGATTCTTGAACATGAATCTCGACAGTAGTGTAAAGATGAGTTGTCTGCAGGATTCCTACTTCATTTCCTGCATTTGTTGAGTGAGGAATCACAAAAAGCTATAGAAAGCAAAGGAAACTTTCAAGTTAAAGAGACATAATGGTGTTACAGAAAACTGAATTTATTCCTGCTTCTGCCAGAGGATTCCTATGCAATGCTGACACAACTATGTAAATCCTTTTTTTTTAAACAGGTGGCAAGATCTGTGCTTCCTTTCTTTGGCTCTAAACTCTTCCCGTCACTGCTTATCTCAGTTTCCTGTCCTTACCTTTGACCATAAATTATGCCTTTGCAAGCTCTTTGAGCCAATTTCTTCTTCTAACTTATACAATACATTAAATATCTCCCCTTAATCCCCTGAGTAACACTGCTTTTGGGTGCCAATTAGAAATGAGTTGAGGGAGCAGTCACAGAACACAGAAAAATTTAGACCTCAGCTCTTGAACTGGTGACCTACTACACCCCAACCTGAAAGAGCCATCAAGGGCAAACTGCCTGTATTTTGCTCCTCTAGAGCTGGGAACAGCTTATGTACAAAACGGTACACATATGCTGCAGCTTTCTGCTTGTGTCACACATGCAGAGAAGTTAGGACAAGCAAGTGACCATGCGTAGTCTTTTAAGTCTCTCTTAAGTAGTAACAAGTCCATAGAATTTGGAATGGATCGTTAGCATTTCAGAGGCTCTTATTTTGGTCATATGTAGGTGGCTTTTTACAGATGAAAAGGAAAGAGATTCACCTAGAAAAAGTTTAGCATCCTGGGAAGGGCCAAGTTTGTGTAGCAGGCACAGTAAGCACTACTGCCATCCGTGAAAAGCTGCTATAATATTAACTCTAAGAAAGCAATACTTTTTTCCCAGTTTTGTTTCATAAATGGCCAACTGGGGTGGGAAGAAGGGAGAACAACCTGACAGAACACATCTGAATAGAGCATTTCATTCCAACCAATTACATGTTGCAAAAGCAACTTGTAAATGACAACAGTTTTACAGTGGGTATCATTACTCAAATTCAGTTAACCGTCATGTATTATCATTATTTCCTATGGGAAACTTCATATCCAAGTATTATTGGCTTTGGCAGTAGCATTGCTATGTTGTATCAGCAGGTGATCGCTTCTGTTTGTTGTACTTCGCTTAAAGAGAGTGAAATAAAAATTCTACAGCTTATATCAGAAGGAATAACTTCCACAAAAATAAAGCTCTTAATACAGCAAAATTTTATCTTCAAAGTGTATTTTTTAAAATATTTCGACATCATCTCATTCATGAGCACCACAGCTGCAGGTAGGTAGTCAGAAAAACAGTAATCCCTTTAGGTTCAACAACAGAAGAAAGTTAAGTTCTCAAGAGAGATGATTTTTCACAACCATACAATAAAAAATAATCTATTCAAAGGCAAGTTGCATTACACCTAATGGCCTCCACACTGAAATCTGTGCATTCCCTGATATGATCAGGAAAAGTGACTTATCACTTAACAAATTTGTATGCTGAGTGGGCAGCCAGAGAAGGAAAGACATTTTGAGTAAAAGACACACTTCCTCACTCAGATGCTCTCATGTTTCAACACTTCCACAAATCGGAACTGCCCATTTAATTGCTCGGTTAAGAAATTTTTCATTACCTTAAAAGATGGTTCCAGTCATTTGTAAACAATCATTCATTCATCAGAATCTTACTGATTCAAAGTGTTGCTTCTAGGCCTCAGATAACAATTCCTGCATGGGTGACCCATATCAAAAGCCCAAACACTAAAAAGCACCACTGCAAAGAAATTGGTATCTGGCCTATACTCACTAGATTTCATGGCATTCGGGGCGTTGGAAGGTGCATTCCCCCAGCCTGTTGTTGATGCTGCTGTATCATCTACTTCACCCCACCCGGGACTTGTTTCATTTGGCTCACCCCAGGCGGACGTACCATTATCTGGAGCAGGTGGAGTGCTTTTGCTCCAGACTGCACAAAGGAGAAAGAGTTTTCATTACAGACCGTTTAGACAATGAACTATTCGCTGCAGTGCAGCACCACACCATTCATCTATTACTTCATTCTTTCTGTTGAGGACTTTAGGTTCTCAGTAACATGGGTGCAACAGGATTGACAACTGTTCACATCACTGAGAGCAGGCACTAACTTCCATGGATGAAAAGGAAGAGAATGCTATGTTGAGTAATATTCTTCTCCAGGTTAAAAACGTACCCTACATCAAATGCTGTCCTATCTGGTGAACTTTTGTCACTAATGAAAAGCACCAGATTAACCCAGGTTTTTATATATGATGAATAAGAACATATTTGAAGTATGTATTAAAACAAAACAATTTTCTTTAAAGCACGTTTATGTCACAGAAGAGATTACATAACAGAAACATCTTAATATATTGCCAGGCTATGTAGCTTTTCCTTGTCCTTATTTCGTAGAATATTTTCAAAGTATTCTTTACCATACAACACAGCCAAATTGAGCTAAAAAACCCACAGACTAGCTCAAGTGTTAAATGAGTGCTCCAGAGCAAAAAGTTTAACAAAAAATAAGTAAAGAATTTCTCCCCAATTCTCTGATAATAAAATATGAAAGAAATGTGATTTGGCTTGGGAAAAAGGAGGCTCAGGGGATACCTTATCACTCTCTGCAACTACATGAAAGGAAGATGGAGTGAGGTAGGCCTTCTGTCTCTTCTGCCAAGTAACAAGCAATAGGACAAGAAGAAATGGCCTCAAGTTGCGCCAAGGGAGGTTTAGACTGGAGATTAGGAAAAAATTTATCCCAAAGGAGTTTTCAAGAATTGGAACAGGCTGCCCAGGGAAGTGGTTGAGTCACCATCCCCGGAGGTGTTTAGAACACTTGCAGATGTGGTGCTTAGGGACATAGTTCAGTGGTGGACTTGGCAGTCCTGGGATAACGGTTGGACTCAATGATCTTAAAGGTCTTTTTTCCAACCAAATTATTCTATGATTCTATAATTCAACCTGTTCTTCAGAGTTCAGATTGAATATGCGCATTTGTCAGCTAACATTTTCTTTCACTGGCAAGCTGACCAGTTTTCAGATCACAAGTACTGAAGCACAACAAGCAGAGGACCAATTGATTCAAATTTTAAAGACATAAGCAAATATTCAAATAAGAATCTGGTTTTCTCTATGGAATAAAACTACTGAGAATTGGAGGCTACACAAGGATCTCTTACACTTCCAGGTTACATTAACATATAGGAGCTTGAGGAAGAAAGGAACAAGACTACTACCTGATGCTTGCGATTTGCTAGTCATTGGAGTAGGCAGGCTCTGCTCCCGTGGGGCCTGTCCTCCTTGTGAGTTCTTGTCCCACAGGTTCACATTCTTGTAGTTATAACTGCTAGGATCTCCCCATGCTGAAGTGCCATCATCAATATCCATTTTCCGACTGATTGACTGTGGCGAAGGTTCTTCCCAGCCACTAGGCTCCTCCTCTTTGGGGGCAGCTTGTTGTGGTCCACTGTTCCAGTTTGGGTTTGGAGGTCGCCCGTTACTTGGAGTTTGGGGCGGTGGACCCCAGGAACCAGAAGACTCCTGCTGTTGCTGCTGGTGCTGTTGCTGCTGCTTGTTCCAGGAGTTGGGCTGTCGACCCGTCTCATTCCACGTTGAAGTTCTTTTACAATCATCCCACCCACCTTTTGAAGCAGCGCTTGTATTTGCACCATTACCCCAAGTTCCAATCTCATTCTGCCCACCTTCACCCCAACCAGACACTGGCTTGTTTCCTGTACTTTCCCAGTTGCTGTTCTTTGTTTGGTCAACTTCCTCTCCCCAACCGTTCTTTCCAGAAGACCATCCTTGATTAGACTGCCGTCCACCCCACCCCTGATCCTTACTACTGGAATTCTCATTCCAAGAGGAAGATGATTTTTCTTCTGTTCTTCCTCCTCCTCCCCAATTAGAAGAATTGGGGTTCTTATAGTCATTCCATCCTCCAGTATTTTTGGGGTCCTTCCACTCTGTTGGGGTTGAGAGCTCACCCCATCCAGACTTGATTTGATTGCTTTGGCTGGGTACATCGCCCCAGCCCCCTGAGTTCTTTGTCTGTGTGGCAGAGCTCTCCCACCCCTCAGTTCCTTTATCAGACTTCCCCTCGGGCCGTGGCATCTCTTCAATATCCCACACGGTATCTTGCTTAATTTGGGTTTGGCCCCAGCCCGTGTTTGAAAGCACTCGGGGGTCCAAATCAGTCCTGCTCAGCAAAGTCTGCAAGACTGCCTGGCAATCAGGATGCGTAGGCCTATATGATCGGCGTCCAGAATTGTGACTGTCACTGCTTCCTGCTTTGTGGTTGCTTCCAGTGCTTTGACCGCCAACCTCACTTCCTGCAGAGCTGGAAGATCTTCCCCAACAGGGAGCCTGGGAATTGCCTTGGTTTTCAGGAAGAGGGTGGCCTTTTTGATTGTCCCATGCTCCAGTGCTAGAATTTGGTTGGTTTGGACCACTCCATTCTCCAATCTTCAGTTCATCAGACCCAGACAGCTGTTTCCATTCTCCCTGAGAGACCCCAGATGTTAATTTGTTCCCTTCACCCCATTTGCTTTCATTTGCATGCTGAGGGCCAAAGTTCCAAGACCCACCACCCGTAGACCGGTTACTGTTATCCCAAGAATCACTTCTTGACCCATTAGGTTTTTGAACAGAAGCTCCTTTCCAGGAGTCCTCTCTATCCTTTCCATTGTTCCCATGGTTTCCAGAATTGCTCTGTCCAGAGGCTGTGTCAGTTCCAGAAGACCCCCTAGCTGTACCCCAAGATCCAACACTCCCAGTCTTTCTTTCTCCAGTGCTTTGTGAAGGGGTGTCAGTGCTCCTGGAAGGGTTCCCCAAGCCCATTTCAAAGGGCATTCCCTTATTCTCCATAGGGTTTGGTGAACTTAAGTTCAAGGAGTTAGTGTTTCCATTTTTTGGTCCATCAGTGTTATGAATTTGAGCCTGTTCTCTGCCAGAGACAAAGTTAACACCCGCATTTTCCATCTTTGACTGCTGTTCCCTAGAGGTCTGACCTACTGTGCTAATCTGTGCATTGGAGCTACCGCTATCAGATTCCAAAGTCCCTTTCCTAGAATTGCCCTCTTGAACCAGTGCTGGCCAAGCAGATGGGTTGCTATTTGGGTTAAAGTTGCTGAAGCCAGTACTGGGACTGATTCTATCTTGGCCACTCAAGTTCCTCCAATTACCTAGTCCATTGTTACTCTCGGCAGCAGGGTTGGAAGATTGAACAGATTTAGCCTTGGGATCAGATTTCCAGGCCCCAAGATTACATTCGTTTCCAGCGCTTCCAGACTGGCACTGGCTTCCTTTTCCTTTGTTACTAGTGGTGCTTCCTGGCAGAGCGTTCTTCTCCAGGCCAGGGTTCGAGGCACTGTTGTTATCGGTGGTGTTTTCGGAAGAAGACTCAGCATCTTTGCTGGCAATACAAGGCCACTCTTCCATGTCAGACCCGTCTACAATCACCTTGTCCCAGATGTGAGTTGGGTTGGCGTTGGTGCCGCTGTTGGAGGAGGCTCCAGGACCCCAAGTGGAATTTGCATAATTTGAAGCAGCAGCACCTCCAATTGCTGAATCTAAAAAAAAGCCAAAAACATACCCAAAGACATCATTAAAAAACAGTGTTATTTTCAAGCACTGAACATCACTAACTACTGTTTTCATTAATAAGAACACTTCCCTCAAACATGTAATAAAGTTGTTTTGGAAGAATATTAGGCTGGAAAACACCACTGAAAATACTGATGAAGAACTTCAATAAAATTCCCATAAGCATATTGTGGGCATCTGAATTCACCTTTGACTCACTACTTCTACTAACAGTCCAGCTCTAAGTTCAACAGAATAATTATAACCCAGTTAATTACAATTACTGCTCCTGGTTGTAGACTTTTCAAACAGACATTTAGAATCATCTTCAAATATCTTTTTCAAGTTGATTCTGCTACAAAGAACTTCTTTCAACAATTCCTATGTAGTAATGTGCAAGCTGCATTCAGTATGTAATTACACCACATCTGTGTCACTGCTATATTTACCCTAGAAACCACAGTTTGTGGTTTTGCGAGCAGCTAAGCTGATCTCTGCCTCTGGATGGAGGCTAGTAAGAGACCTTACTTTTTCTCCTCTCTCACCAGCTCTACCTACTTCAAGTTCCCCAAGTTTCACAGCACATTTGTGACAGTTCTTTACACAAAACTGTCCACTTTTTGATGAGTTAGCTTTTTGCTGGCTTAGCACATTATACAGGGTAACTTGCAAATTCAGTGAGCTTTGGAGTCACTGTAAGAAAATCAGCAGGATGAACGACAATGAATAGGGCACCTTTCTTTCATCTGTGGTGAACTATTATTATGTCCTATGTGCATGACTTCACATGGACAAGATATTTGCATATATTTTTAAAGCAGATATAAATCAACACAGTGACACAATGGATGAAAGCCTATGTCAATGCTGGCAGCACGATGTCTGCATATATGCACGTTAGCATCATTAGTTTAAAATGCCAGCCATGATTCCCTTGCTATCCACATAATTACTTGTGATCCTCTAAATAATTTAAGTCCATTAGTACTTCAGTGTTGTTCTCTATATAGCGTTATACTCATTTTTCTATGTATTTTTAATACCAAGGGACCCTAAATTGCCCTCCTCACCACAAATTCCCCGTGATGAAGACTAAACACTCTCTGTTCTACAGAACCATGTACGCTAGGTACAAAACCATGTACCTAACATATTAGTCTTACTCAGTTACCCCACCCAACCAATTTAACTTATTCTGCAGAGCATAAAGGTCATAGTAATATCTGCATCAGTATTTAGACCTGAATATGTATTTTGTTACTACCAATATTAGCTGATATGACAGCATCCAGGAAAATAAGGTATAATCACAGAATTGAAGAATGGTTTGAGTTGGAAGGGACCTTAAAGATCATGTAGTTCAAACCCCCCTGCATGGGCAGGGACACCTTCCACTAGACCAGGTTGCTCAAAGCCCTGTCCAATACTGACCTTAAAAAACATGTATATCCCCTCCCCTTCCCCCGCCCAAGTGTCTATGTTACATATTCGAAACTAAAGACCACAATTTCTGGTTGCTAATACCGTTAACAGAAAATGAACAGATTGGCTTTCAGCACCTGTCTCAGGCTTTCTGTTTATTAGCTTAACCAATGAACATCCACTGAATGCCTTCCGGATCACCCCTTATGAAGGACCACCAATAAGGACCTAGACTTCACAGCAAGGTTAGAACTCTTTGTACACTTTGAATACTGATGAACAAGTCAGCCTTAATCCATTAAACCCTAGCCACCAAGATCCAAAAGACCAAGCCGTTCCCATACATGTTTCTGTTGTTGCCTTTACCTTACAGGCAAACTTAACAATAGCAAGGAAGTGTGACTTTTGACTGGTATTTAATCTTTTTCGTACACTAATGCTTCTCTGCATTTTGATTTAAAAACATTCTGATTAGACCAATCACAGGAATAGCTTAAGGAGGACAGCCAAAGACAAATTCTACTGCTGTCTTTTGAACTTAGCAATGATTCAGCACATGACTGATGCACAGGCCGCTATGTAGCAAGACCTCCACACAGGTGATTTTAATAAAGCTTTTCACATTTTATTTCTGTGGAGATATTCTAAAAGTATTAAGATGGGGATGTATACTAGATCACAATTTAACAGATTGCCCTATAAAAAGCCAGCCTCCCCTGCTATATTTGACAGTGGCAACAAAATTTTGGCGATTTATGGTTTTGTCTAAAGATAATGGGTAAGGGCTCTTGGTTTCTTAAACTCCTCCTTAATAACAAACATGTTGAAGATAAGAAAGTTTCTAATCTGACTAGAATAAAATTAAAAAAAATTACTAAATTATTACTTTTAAAGATGAAAGTATGGAACTGAAATAAATGAAAGTACTGAAATGGGGATGCAGTTTTGCTGTGAGAGATGGTGATGATTCTTAGAGGGTACTGTAACTACTGAAAGACTTTCACCGATAAAATTTAAGCTCTGTTTTCCAAAATCAGCTTGCATATCCTGAATATAATTGGTATTGGATGAATTATATATACCACCCTCCACCCCAACCCCTGCTATTGCTATGAGACAATAGTAAACTCAGTGTCATCTTTCAGGGAACTAGAGCTTTGCCATCTTACAGAAGCATTCCAATTCTGACAGAAAAAGATCCATGTAGAAAAGGATTATGTATTAATTTTTTGTGTTGAAGCCTCACCAACACCATCTATAGCTAGCTGGCAAATAGAACATCATGAAGCAGTAAGTAAGCTGCACTGTCTTCTCCTTTGGGAACCTGTCTTTTTTTTTAATGGGGGCTGAACTAATCACAGCATCAGTGCATAAGTGCCTGACAGAACTGGGCCCAATTTGTCAACAGCCAGGATTTCAGATGGCGCTAATGATGTGCAAAACAGATAGCAACACTGTATCTCCATAAGCACTTTGATGGAGCACCTTAAGTGACAGCCCTGGCCTATCTTGTCCAGCTGCTCATTCCCACTCCCCTGGCACACATATTCCAACTTGCTAGCACGTTTCCACTGACATTCAGTGAGCTGAACTGGTAATCACCCAGGCTGACGTTAGCTTTAAAAAACCAACCTGGCTTAATTTTAACTCAAGTCAGCTTAATTATCTGTTATGGCGCACAAAGCTGGATGGGGTGAGGCAGGTCTAAAGGACCCGTGTATTTCTCTTCAACGCTCCTGACTTACACCAGGGTAAAGCAACTAACCATTGGCATAAGAAGTTGCCCTATCAATAAAATATAAACAGATAGTTGTAAATGTACCATTAAACTGAATGTAAAAATATGAGAATACATTAAAACAAAATTTTGGTCTTGGAAAAACAAGTATTTGGTGCCAAACTAATTACACAAAACTTTAAGGAGCCCCTAAAATACTTCAAAATAGTCTTCATATAGTACATCCAACAGCGAATAAATGCTGTTCATGAGAAATTTTGTAAACTTTTAGAATGCTTCACTACTATCAAGTCTCTTTTGTCAGTCTACTGCAATCACTGTAAGGTATACAAATGCTGACATAATGCTAACATTTTACATACAGTCACAAGACTTTGGGGTGTGGGTTCCCCACCCCCACCCCCTCCCCCCCTTCATCTTTCAGCTGTTTTATCAAAATCAGCCATCTCTTTAGAGATCTGTTTTTTGAACTGATTAGCTAAAACTTTGCCACTGTAGTTTAAAATCCCCTCCCCCTTAAATAGGCAACATCAAAGATAACAAGATAAATAACCTGTCAAACAGGGATTTATTACAAAGGAATTCAAGCACTGAAACCACAAACCAAGCAGAATCATTCATTTTCCTAGAATCCTTCTAATAAAGACAGCCATCCCATCTAGCTTGCTTGATTCTGGAGTTCCAAGCCACTTCAGAACTGTAAAAAGTCTATGCTCTCCAGGACTGCGGTAAAAAAGCCATCCCATTAATCTGGATGGTTTTCAAAGGCAAGTCAGACATAGTGGTATCATTATTTTCTTTTTCTGATTTTCAAGCATTTATTATTTCTTTTTTTAAACACCCTCATTGGCAGAACTGAAGCTGTCCTTGACTTCTCAGATCACCTAAGTTTTTCTTTAGAAGGCAGACAGATGTCTTGAGTGGTATTTTGTTTGTTCTGCTATAATAACTTTAAGAAGGAAATATTACAATTACTGCAATTCCCCAAGGGTCTAAAAAATTCAGGAGCAGTCAGACACTCATAAAAAAAAAAATCTTAAAATCAATTTATCTTCTAGAATTCAAAGTGAACAGAAAAGTAAAAACAGGACAGTCACTGCTTTTATAAAAAGGCTTATCTAAGGAGAAAACCAAGATTGTTACTAAAAAATAGTCAGGAGCAAGAGGATCAGCTTTCTATTTCATCTAGGTGAGAAGTGACAGCCACCTGACATCTGCAGGCTTCCTATCTACATGTCTGTTTTGCTAGATGGTATAAAAAAAGTGACAAGGAAATTCATGTGATCAAAGAAACCTGAAGAGCTATTAAGAACCACTCAATGACAACCATAGAATGCTATTCATCCACGCACTGGGTGTACCTTGTTGTGGTCTTAAAGCTTTACAGCATAAAATTCAAGCCACCCGTTACATGTTTAAAAAAAAAAAATAAAAAAATCAAATCTCTCTCTTGTTCCATCTATTAGTAAAACTTGCAGTCACTGTTTCTAACAGCAAGAGAAAAGTCTATATGCTAAAATAGAAGCTCTCCAGAAGCCATCTGATGAGGTTTTTCTATATAATGATATGCTTATGCACAATTTTAGCAATCCCTTTCCTGCCATGCACACACACACGTTCATTTAATACTAATATTATTATTACTTGCCTGTTGCAGTCCCACTGTCGCTCTGCAGCAGTGCTCCTGTCACTGGTTGTGCGTTGTTTGGGTTTGCTCCTGGTGCTGTTGGGGGAGGAGGCCCTGCTCCACCCCCAAGGAGCATACAGGATGGCGGAGGGGGCTGCCCACGTTTCAGTAACACTTTGTGGTCCTGCTGGCAACGGAATCGCGGCGGCACCTCCCGAGGCATGTAGCGGGCGGCGCTTGGCGGTTGTCCGTTCGGCACTGCCACCCTTTTGGCATTGTTGCCACCATTGACTGGTGGCGATGGAGAGTTGCCAATTGGGCTGGCAGCCACTGGTTGGCTTAAACTTGGTTTCGTCACTTCGGGCACTGAAAAACAGGAAGAATGGAAATCAGAAACTTTTCCACTTAAACCTGTGCTAGCTGCAAGAACTCACTGTGACTTTCCTTTTAAAATTCCATTCTTCTCTCAAATGCTGTGCAGCTTCAACTTCATCAAAGAGCAGGGAATAAGCAGTTAGCAGCAAACCTCTTGCTTCCATGTGCAACTCTGTACCCCAGTCTGAAACTCTATCCTCAGCAAGTATTTTGCTCTAAGCCCCAAATTTCCTGGAAATGTACAGCTGGCAAAGAGTATCACCCTGGGCAATGAGTCATTTAAAAACATGAGCAGTCAAACAGAACTGGGTCCATCTTCCCAAGTCTGCTTCTCTCCCCTGTTCCCCAATCTTCAAGTGGGTTTTGGATTGTTTAAGCATCACCCTTATGGGAGATCTGAAATCAGATCCCAAGTTTTCACCTGCTTAAGGCATACATAGCCACCATCAAAACAAACAGACGGGAGAAAAAACACCACCCTCCTCTTAGAGTTAACAAATCCAACTTCTCTGTACTGCTCTGAAGTAAGGCAGTACTAGTTGATTCCCACCCGAAAGGCAGTCCTACATACAGCATTTGTTCTGAGCTCGCATAAAGTTTCCCAGCTGGTCACCAGGTGCCCCATAAGCAAAGACAAGCTGCTTCTAAAGGCTATTATGCATTAGAGAAGAGGAAAACCACAAACAAATCCTTGAGGAACTAACATCATCACAAAATCTGCTTTCGCTATATAGGCTTCAATGCCCAAATCCACAAAAAAGGTGGTGTTAGCTGAAAAATCGAGTTACTATCTTAGTTCTCTTCTGTCAATAACGGCAATTTCCCCACATATTTTTTATAAAATTGACAAACAGATCAAGATTAAATATATTTTTAGATCAGCTAAATAAACTTGGCTTTCAAGATTCTCTAACATCAGTCCTGCCTTATCTGTTGGACTTTTTGGTGCCTTAAGTTCCCAAACCCAAGCCATTTTAATTCACTTTGGTACCTCACTATACGCAGTGTTTTCCCTGTCTTCCATTCAGTTTATACAGGTGGATTTTGTGTACGTCTATACTTGTCTAAAACCTCTGCAAACCCGAAAACTAAATACTTCAGCTAATCTATTTTATCCACAATACTCATCTTGATTCATAACTGCCCTTCTTTTTACAATAATTCTGATCAAGATCCAAGTCTTGGGCTCAGGTTGATAAAAAATATTCTTTAGAATCAAAGATTCTTACCTTTGGTTTTTTGATCTGTGACCTGCAAATTAAAAGCAAGAATGTAAATAAGAGTTTTAAGAATGTCAACACAAAACATTGAACAGATTACGCTAAATCATTACCTTGATTTATTAGCACAAGAACAGTATCTGTTGTTGCATGAAAATAATTAGATGATGAACTTCAGTATTCCTACTCATAGATACGAAGTTTTCAAAAATAATACAGCTCCTGGAATATCTGATGCAAAACTGGCAGAGGTTGCCCAGAGAAGCTGTGGCTGCCTCAGCCCTGGAAGTGCTCAAGACCAGGTTGGACAGGGCTTGGAGCAAAATGGTCTAGTGGAAGGTGTCCCTGCCCATGGGAGAGGACTGGAACTGGGTGAGCTTTAAGGTCCCTTCCAACCCAAACCATTCTGTGATTCTATGATTCTATGGAAAGTCCCTCGCAGAAACAGTAATTACTTCACTCATTATGATTTTTCATATACGCTCTTCTCCTCATCCCAAATGCAGATTTCCAAAGCACAAATAAACATGCACTACAGTTCCTTCAGATTTTGGAGGTGAGGGATAACAAAAACTTCCTTCTGTGAAAGTATCCTTACAGCAGACTGCTAAAGGTAGCAATGGAATTCCCATAGGAGTAATCTCAGATGGGATGAGATCTGTGTCTCTGCCATCTTCCCGTTTCACCTTTCCCATGATATCTCTTCCAAGGAGAAGAAATCCTAAACCTGGATTCATCACCACAATTGCAAAAATACCTGCAACAGCTATAAATCACCAGACTTCACGATCTCTTGAATGCAATAAGAAATTGATTACTGAAGTGAGCCATCATGCTGCCAACATACTCAGTATGTAGTTTTGCTGTACTTTCAGCATAGCAGATTTCAAGCTACAGTAGAGACAAACATACCACTGGTATATTCTCTGTAATCGAGTGTATTGTAGCATGTTTTGAACCTGTCGATCATGAGTTCCACTACACAATAATGAAAAAACCCTAAAGATCACAATGTGTCAGGTCTATGACACCTATTCTTAAAAGAAATTGCTGACTGAGTCCATAATTCTGGAAAGCACACAGTGACAGTATAGGATAATGAAAGCACAAGTAAAAAGCAGTTTATTGTTTAAACTAACCAAGCCAGAACTTCTTTGTATGGTAAAGGATAAAAAGACAAACTGCACTGAATTGCTATGGCACCATTTACTTTGCAAAGATGAACACCGCAATATGCAGTGGCACATCCACTATCATACAAAATCTTACGCATCATAGCTTCAAAGAGATGCATAATCTAAAAGTCTCCAAGACATTAAAAATGCACCTGTACCAAAATGGCATCTGTAAAAAGCCAGACATTAATTTTCAGCTTCATTTATGAAAAATCCTGCATATGTCAAGTTAAGTCTTCTCATGTCATAAAAAAAATCTGTTAATCACTTAAGTGGCTCTGATACTCCACTACTAAAGAACAAAGAGGGAGAAAATTATTCATGGATCCAGTTTGGTAATACTGATAGGTCTACTATGGTCGATGGCAAACATGCTCAGTAAATAAGTAACGTGTACTTAGAAGAACCCTGTTTTGCCAAATCTTTAAGGAATTCTACATAACCACAGTCTGCTTAAGGGAAAAAAAAACCCAAACATACATATTACTTCTGCCTATACTGCATCTCTCTCCCCTAGTCAAAATGATACGGCTTTGTGGTGTTTTTTTTTTGTCTAAAATACAAAAGCTGAGAAAATGTGACACCATCTCAGATTTACAGCTGTCATCTCTGTGGGCAACCTACAAGCACTAGCAGGGCAGGAGCAGCTACAGTGAATGGGAAGGTGGAGTCAAACTCAGCCTTCTGACAAGCTATCAAACAGCCCCTGGGACACCAACCACAGGAATTCAGTCTGTGAATTTGCTTGCATACCCTCTGTTGAAGTAATTTTTTTTTATTTTTCAGAAGATCCAGACAGAAACAATTGTTTCATGTTATACAAACTGTCTGAAAAAAGATACCCCCAAATCATTACTGCTTATTAGGTGAAAGCCACCAGAGCCACTAAGAACGAACACACACATTTATGTTCTATCCATTCAGTTGCCTGCTTTGCTACTCCTAGATATCTTCAAGTATTACTGTTAAGTTTGGTATCCAGGACATTAACATACTTAGTGTTCACCCTTACCAAGATCTTGGCAAAATACCATAACATGCAATCATACTGAATAAGGCAGGTGAGGGACCACACAGGAAAGCTGGCAAATCTCCTTTGTACTCATAGCACTGATTCCTTGGTAAACACCAACAGCAGTGTTATCAAGGTAATCTGTATAACCTTTTCAAGTTTCTCTTGTTCACTGAGTATCAGCATATAATCATCAAGTCACTAGCCTTCTAGCAACCAGGGTCTCCTCCTCCTGGTTCCTACATATATTTTTTGTACTTGAACATTAAACAGCAGCACAACCGAGTCAAAAAGACACTGAAGAAACCTTATTCTGTAGCTACTGATCTTTTGCAGTATAACTGGGGATGTATCAACACAATGGCTGCATAAAGACAACAAAAATGCACCACTTTATTTGCACCTAATTGAAACTGATGGACTGAAATTGGTGCAAAAGCCAGATTTAAGATGACCCCAGGTAAGATAAAACTTTAACTGAAACTGGTGCTGGCTGGTCTAAGCAGAAACCTAGAAAATCTATCAGCGATGTCAGACCTCTTGTAGGATCTGTTGTTACTGAAACAACTGAAGCGCAGAGACTACCGAAATAAAGTAAAGCCTTCTGCTGTCAATTTCACATCATCAATGAGATTGGAAGGGACAGCCTCTGAAGATCTAAGTCCACAATCCCCACACCAGTTCCCCAGCTGCCCCCTGGAGTCTGCCCAACTCAAAGCAAAGTCATCCAAACCAGACACATCCAAACTAGACTGCCACGTTCAACTCAGTTTTGAGCATCTCCAAAGATGGAGGTACCACAACCTCTCTGGGAAACCCGTTCCAGTGGCTGCCCAGTCACACACATGCAAAATGAGTCTTTTAATTGATTCAGTGGGATTTCCTGTATTTTAATTTGTGCACAATGCTCAAACTTCTCAACACTAAGAAGAGTGTGCCTCCACCTTCTTTACTCCCTCCCACAAGGCATTTATATGCATTCATAAGATGCCCCTGAGCCTTCTCTTCTCCAGGCTGAACAGCCTCAGCCCTCTCCCCTGTTTGTCAGATATTCCAGTTCCTTAATCATCTTAGGGGCCTTTCCTGGACCTGCTCCCAGACAGTTACATATCTTGTACTGGGAAGCCCAGAACTAGACAGAAAGGATTTTACCAGTCAGAAGCATGGATAAAGCAGGAGAACTCAATTTCTCATGTCAAATTAATTCTTAGAACAATCTGCTAGATTTTCAGTGAAATAGAGAGCGTTTAATACACTAAGTATGCAAACCCAATTTAGAGTTTAATATTTTATATTAAAAAAAAATCTTTTGCTTCACTTGACACACTAAGGAGATTAAAAGTGTTATGTTAAGCACTTAAGTTCCAGAAAAAATAAGGAAAAAAATAATTAATGAAGCATCACTCCTAACAACCAAGTTTTAAATCTCAAATACAAACAATTTAATATCTTACCACCCCAATACTATTTATGTTCCAGCAGGATGAAAGTAGTCAAATATCAAAACCTACCTTCTGAGCAGATTCCTTCTTTTTCTTATCCTCCTTCTTCCTTTTCTTGTCTTCCATTAACTGTTCTTCCCTTTCTTGCTCCTTCTCTCTGCCAAAACATGAAAAACAACAATATGAGCTCAATCAAATTGTACAAAAGCCACATACACTGTATCCTTTTTCCCCCCAAGAAAGGAAGTCAAGATACTAGATTCCTCTTATCATCATACTTCATTTGCATTTGAGGGTTTTGGTCTAGTTGAGATTAAGAAAAGCACCTTCTAGCTCAGTGTGGCAACAATCACGCCACTTGCTGCATAAAGGAAAATTCCTTTATTTGGATCAGGCCTCTTATGGCAGTACCCTGTATAAATTAACTATGTGCCTGATATTAGAAAATATCTTCAAGACATTTTGGCCAAAAAACCCTTTTAATTGGGTTGTGCTATTATTTAATGAACAGTCTCATGAATCTTTTCATATGATAAAAAAAGGGAAGTTGTAATTTAATATATGATGGTCTGGTCTGATACGACATTTATCTTCACAGGGGGAAGACATTATTCTATTGCCTGTAGCTATGTCGCTTGTAAGAGACTAGAAATGTCATATCACATCAAAACCATCATTTATTATACAAATCACTAATTCAATTTCTAGCCTATTGTACCCACCCACAAAATTTTTGTGATGAAACTTGTAATATAAATTACTTTCCAGGGAAGCTATTTTTTTCACTCTTTCAAAAAAGGAATTAAAAAATATGTGCAGCTGCTATTGTTGTCGAGCTATCATCTTGTTGCTATGCTTTGTGTCAAATATGAAAGTACCAGAAAATGGTTAATTTACTGCATATGTGCTATTGGCTGAACTGTTTCTATGGTGAATCACATCTTTGTTAACCAGTTCTCTTCTCCTCCTTAAAAGTAAATTTAAAACCAAGTTTTCAGATCACTTGGAGTAATTTTTTTTATAAGGAAAGATTAAGACTAAGGCAGTTAATGTAAAAAGATGATCTGATGGATAAAGGGTAGGATCAGAAACCAGAGATGTGCACTTTACAAACAACTAACAAGTATAACTCATGATCTTTTGGAACAAGTTATTATAAAAACCAACAGATTTATAAACAAAGCTGAGGTTTACAGTTGTATTGAACTATTTCTTGTATTTATGCACAAATCAAAGCTCTTTTCTGACCATAGTTTAAGCATCTTAGAATTGGCTTTGCTGTCACATTGTTCAGACTTTTCCTTCCACTGCCTTTACGTAGTATAGGTAGTATTTTTGTTTGCATTTTCACTAGATACTGCCAAGCCAGTAAAGAGACATTTGCATAGCTAATCAAATCCTACCAAAACATTTTAAGATGTCATGTGTTAACAGCTTCCTGACTGAGAACTTCAAAGAACTCTCAAAGAGAAAATGTTTTAAGGATAGTAATAAAATGCCTTCCTGGTTTCCTGCAGTCAGAAAGGCATTCTCCATCTTCATGGATGGAGAAAATGGATAAAGACGAGTCCTTAGTAACAACACCCTGGGATTATTACCAAATGCAATTCATACATAGTAGCCAGTTTAGTCTGGATGTTAACAAAAGTTTGAGGCAAGCATTCCACATCATACAGAACAGTGTTTTATGCACAGTCTGGTATTACTTAAGCCAGGTCAGTTCTCACTCTTTTCTGTTCTCTATAAAAATGTCAAAGCACACTTTCCAGCCCTAAACTCTGAAAAACCTGTGGGGCTTTTGCTTGCCAATTTTACTAACAGGAAAGACATGAAGCACTGCGAGACTGGTATACTTCCCATTGCCATGGCATTGAGACAAAAAATGTTCTGTTTTCTTTGAGCCACAAACTGTAAGCAATATGGAAAAGCTCTCCAGTGACACCCTCATCTTTCAAAATTACTATAACCTCAAATTATGTTTACTACTTTTGTACTGTCAAGCTGTGTGTGTCTCTTGGGCTGTAGTGCCAGTTAAAAGAGTACTATTTCTAAAAAATTTTCTTGCAGCAGGCAAAAGTTTCAGAGCTGTCTTAAAAGAGCTCCTGAAAAAGGGAAGGATCAAAATACAAACTGACTTCCAGTAACTGCCTGGCACACAGCCTTCTACTTAAAAGCACTTTCCTTAGTTTTGTGACCAGAAGAGCAGGGAATGGAAAAGAACAAAAAAAAGGTCATATGCAAGCTATGGCTTACAGCAATGTGCAGCACATAATCAAAGAAGTGAAGGATAGAAGATCCACAGCCTGAAAGTAAACACCTAGTTATGGGCATTTGTCTTTGTGATACATCCTTTAGTAAAGATGTGAATTTAATATTCCATTGTGCACATCATCAACAACTACAATATAGCAATAATCAATACTTAGTAATTTAGGCTTCAGTTCGTGTAAGCACACACCTAAGTTCTACTGAGATGGAAGGGAACTTTCTGAACACTTGGCTGCATCACATGTACAAGACCACAAAGCTCCTGGCAAAGCGTAACTGAAACCTCATGAACACATAGGAAATATGAAGTTCCATTCTCCAAATGACAGAGCAAGAACTGATGCCACAGACACACTAACCATGTACCACTGTGTTGAAAGTTCACTGAATTGGTGGGGGGAAGGGGGAGTGGAAATAGCTTATTGCCATTTTGGGTATCACACTTGCCATCTTCCCACTTTCACTCTGATGCATTTCACTAACATCTGAAGTTTTTATGATCAATGGTTTCCCTTTTTCAGTTGTACACAAGAAGCTTGTTAAACACAAACTTAGCTTGCAGCTCTAAGTCTTCCAATAAATTTAACACAAGCAAAACTTTCAAGAACCTCAACAATTCATTCAGAAGACAATGCTGCATATTAACCTTCTCTCATTAGCCATAAGATAATTCCTCCTGGCCCAGGCAAAGAAAGTGGAGGGTGTGGGTGTGCGTCCATGGTGTACATTCCAGCAACAGGTGCTTAGACTGACAAGATCAACATGGGGAGAAAATCCATCAGCTCCAAACAGAGTGAATTTAGAGTAATACAATGGGGTGTGGTTCCGGCATTTGTTACCAGCACATAGTAATGGGAACAAGGACACACCACAACCCTGAAGAGGAAGTTTGCTAAACAGCAACCAGAAGCTAGCTTTTTACTCTAGCTTTCTTGAAGAAATCATGTGTTGATCTTAAAAATGATCTGACCGCATGCTAGTTTGGAATTAACATTGTCAGGAAGCACTGCTGAAGTGTATTACAGACTTGGTAATTTCGAGTATTTAAAGTAAGGCATATTAACAGCTTATAAATTATGAGGAACTATAGGTTGCAATAAAAAATTTTAATTATAAAATACCCAAACCAAACAAACCCACTAGCTGTGATGCAATACACTTAACACCGTATTGAAGTTATTATAATAAACTCTTCTGGCTAAGACAAAAGCAACCATTTCAGAGAAAATAAGGTTTTTCAGCTAATTAACTGAAGAAGTAACAGAAAATACTTTTGCAGACCAAGTTATTAAAACACCCACTTCAGGAAAAAAGTAAAAACAGGTATTCAAGAAGTGTGCCCTCCCCTAAAACAATTTACCATTTTTGGAAGATGTTTATTCCTTCAAAATCTTAACATTCATTTTCCCCAGAAAACTGTCTTAAAAAGACTTATTCTCACAATGTATGGGCTTCAGGCACAGGCAAAGTTCAGAAGCTGTCTTCAAGTTTTTGCTATCATAAACTAAACTGTGAGACGAAATGACGTATTATGTATTGCATTCTATCTGCTGGCAACACACTTTGATCGGTAGAGATAAAGTGTCACACAGAGCATTAGTCTACGCAAAACCCCCACAACCCTATAAAGTCAACCTCAACCTAAAATTGCACAGAAGAAATAGAAGTAAAACATAAAAAAATGAAAATTTTGAGAAACTCAGGTGTGGCACCTCAGGGTAGGCAATTCCCAGTTCCTTCTACAGGGCTACAGGACAACAATGTAACACTGGAAGCTCCTCATAGGTAAAGATGCATGCTAGATACTGGTCCTATGAGTCATCTTCCCTCCTCTTGACCCCACGCTTTGCTTTACTTAGTACAGTTAACTCACTATAGTGTAGCAAAACACAGGAGTGACAGTAAACTTCTATTGGTGCATCCTATTCTTTGCACTGTAATAAACACAGGATGATTTACAAATCTGCTTCCAAACTGTGAGCCAACTTCTTCCAGAATAGGAGCAATTCTGAAACTACACTTGTAGCATCAGCAGCACTTAAACAGAACAAGCTTTTATCTATACAGCTACAAGGTCAGTGTAACAACTTCTCTAAAGGCTTTAGCCATAACTATCCAGAGCTCAAACGCCATCACCTTATGTAAAATAACAATTTGCATACCTAGACCAGTCTCACCCAGACACAGCACTTGATGTAACCAACTTTTTCCTACAGACAGGTCTCTAGTGATTCAAAATATATACAAAAGAAATATACAAAAGGACTTAAAACTCAAGGGACTAAACCAGAAAGTTAATCTATAGAGCATCCACCTTTAATCGAGATTCAAAGCAAGGAGAATTTCCAGTGAACTCTAACTACAAGCATCTGCTCCTCAGCAGTTCTGAAAGTTTCCTCAGTGTTTTGATAAATTATACAGCCTGGATACTAGCAGAATTGAGCATCACACTCTGGCATCCCAGATGTGTTGCAAAACACCTTTACAACAAGCTCAGGTAGTTCAGGGAAGTTCAGGTCAGATATAAAGATGAAGCTCTTTACTGTGAGGGTGGTGAGTCGCTGGAACAGGTTGCCCGAAGACATGGTAAATGCTCCATCCCTGGCAGTATTCAAGGCCAGGTTGGAGAGAGCTTTGTGTGACATGTGAGGTGTCCCTGCCCATGGCAGGGGTTTGGAACTGGATAATCTTAAGGTCCTTTCCAAAACAAACCAGTCTGTGATTCTATGATTCTATGTATCCTCTAGACTGTATTTAGTCCTTTATCCCATACTCTGCATATGTGACGTGTACTGTCACTTGCATCTGAGCCATTCTAATTGTAACTAGCGCTTTGCTGGTACAATCTTCTAGCATAACAGTATTTATATAAAAAATTACATTAAAAAG